TATGACCTCAATTGACTGTTGGAATGAGATTCCAGGAAACCGGTTGGGTCAAAGTGCAAGTTGGGGTTAGGTTAGGGTGAGGAGACGGTAGTGACGATACAGTAATGATACAATAAATAAAAAGCTAAAGTACAATTTAATATATGTTTTTAAGCCATAAATGCCGTATAAATAAAAAACTGCTTAAAATTTTGCAAAAAATTCAAAGCCGCAAAAACTTTCTTTACAAATTTTTTTTTTTAAATTTTAAAAACTTTTTAAAAAATATGTCATAATATAACTGCCAAGCCTAAAAATGCAAATTTTAAAAATTTTTTCAAAACCGCAAGAACTCTTTACACTTCTGATTTTTTAATATGTTCCAAGTTAAATCAACTTTGATGAGCTATAGCAAGCTTTTACTGTAGTAAAAGTTTTTTTTAACCGTCTAAATTAACTTACAGTTTTTTAAAACCATATTGCTAAGCTTATCTTAAACTGTTTTAGCTTTACAATTTAAAAATTTGGCTTTAAAGTTGTAGTAGACATCAAAAACCTTATGTTAGACTAGTTTAAGCCATTGCTATTTGTCAGTAAAGTCAAAAATCAATGCCAAACCATATTATACTAATTTGAAAAACCCTGTTCTTATAATACAAGTAAGATCCACGTTACTATTCAACCATTAAACTGTTGCTTTTTGAGTTTAAAGTCGATTTTTCGCCTAAAGTCATCATACTCTCAACTTGTTTCCCAATCATTTCCCCCAAAACCCTGTGATTCTGAATCTAAAAATAGTCGAAAACTAGTCGAATATGTTTCGTCTATGTTAAAAATGTTTGCCCTTTAACAAAACATTGTTTACTTTCATCAAAATTGTCACCTAATGGTTAAAACGTCACAATTGTTAAAATGCTGTTTGATCTTATAATTGAAAATCAGCTAGCTCCTTATTAAAAACAAATTTGTTTTTGAGTTTTTTAGGTGTAACAAATTTTAAATAATGTTGAGAATTCAAAAATTGAAGAAAAGTGAAGAAACTTTGTTTACAAAAATTGGTTTTTTTGCAAAAAGTTGAGAAAAATGAATGGTTGACGCCAAAGAAAAAGTTGTGCCATTTTTATTTGGACCAAAAGTAAAAATGTATTTTAATAGAAAATTACTACACACAATGGGGCATTCACTAAAATAAAATTAATATAGATACTGGTTTTTACAAAAAAGTTATGACGTGACAACTTCAAATTTTTGGTAAAAAATTGATAAAAATGAGTGGTTGGCTGTAAAAAAATAGTTGTGCCATTTTTATTTGGACCAAAAGTAAAAATGTATTTTAAGAGAAAGTTACTACACACCATGAAGCATGTACTACAGTGAAAGCATTATAAATATCCGCTTTCAAAATTAAGTTATGACGTAATAAACTTTACATTTTGTGCAAAAAATGGGTAAATCGGCGCAAAAAATTGATGTGCCATTTTTATTTGGACCAACAACAAAAATAAATTTTAAAAGAAAGGTACTACATACTATGAAACTTTTACCACAGTAAGAATTATTTACATCATATAAGCAAAACAAAAGTTACATTAAGTTAAACTTGTCATACTCTCAATGTTCCCATGTTTTAGCTGCCTACCTCAATTTAAAACCCTCAATTCACCCCGTTAGGCCTTAAAAATTATACTGTAACTTATCCTACATACCAACACAATGCTAAAAATGTAAAATCAACTCTCAAAAGTTGAAAATATTACCCATGACCATGCGATCTCAGTCCTTCTTTCTTAACAACCCATCAAAGTAACATCCCAGAGTGGAGAAGAAACTTTCGTTTTTGCGATTGAACCGCCTCGACTACTGTAAACTATCCATCATAATTACGTTCTGGGTAAGCGGAACAGTTTAAAAAGACCAAAAGTTTCATGGTTAAGTCTGGGTGGAGGCATGCGCGGAACGCATGGACTTGAGAAATAAGCTTTTGAAGAAAGTTTTTGCCATTTTTTAAATTGTAAAGGAAGTTTTTGTTATTTCTTGTTTTGTAAAGAAAGTCCTTGCCATTTTTTGCCATGTAAAAAAGTTCTTGCCATTTTTTGTCATGTAAAGAAAGTTCTTGTCATTTTTTTGTTTTGTAAAGACAGTTCTTGCCATTTGTACAAAACCGAGCTTTTTTATAGCTTTGCAGACTGCAAATGACAAGTTATACAATAAAAAAAATTTTTTGTTTTTCAAAAAAATTTTAGTCAGTTTTCGTTTGTAAAGAAAGTTTTTGCAGTTCATTAAAATTTTTTGTTTCTAAGAGCCATGTAATCAAAAATAGCAAAAACTTTCTTTACATACCAATTGTCAAAGCATTTCTTTGCTTCATCGTATAACATGTCTTCCGCAGGCTGCAAAAGATCCTTTTATACTTTTACAAGAAATTTCTGCCATTTTTAGTTTTGCAAAGAAAGTTCTTGTCATTTGTACCAAACAAACCTATTTTCAAACTTTTGCAAGCAGCAGGTGACAAGTTATACGATAAGAAAAAACACTTTTTTAGTTTGTAAAGAAAGTTCTTGCCATTTTCTGTTTTGTGAAGAAAGTTCTTGCCATTTTCTGTTTTGTAAAGAAAGTTCTTGCCATTTTTTGGTTTGTAAAGAAAGTTCTTGCCATTTTATAATTTGTAAAGAAAGTTCTTGCTATTATTGACATTGTAAAGAAAAATTCTTGCTATTTTTTCCAAAACCGAGCTTTTTTTTGCAAAAAAGTCAAAGTACATTGACCACCCCTATGCCCAGCCCTCTAACCCCCTCTCTTCCTCTCCAGCCCTCTAGTAAGCTATCCCTTCGTTCTCCACCCCCCCTTCAGCAAGCTATCAATGCCCTTTCCCAACCTTACCTTCGACTTCGCAACCCCTTCTCAGCGGTTGCAAAACTTGTGATTTTCACACAGTAATTCGACTATTTTTGATTGTAACACCCAATATTCTCCCACCCGCCGCCACTCCGAATCGGTTTCGTTACGTCATCGTCCAAACTTCAGATTCACACGATGGAACGTTGGCGGAACGTTGATGGAATGCATGTGCCGATCAAATCGTCACGTTTTTATGGCGAAAAAGTGCGGTTATGTTGTGATTGTGGAGTAATTTAGAAGTTTCAATGGGGTTGAAATGCAAAAAGAAGCGGATTTTAAAGGGTTTTGCAGCCTGCAAGAGACATGTTATACGGTAAAACAGTTCTTACTGTTTTACGTTCTGTAAAGAAAGTTCCGGTCATTTTTTGTATTGAAACGAAATTTTTTGCCATTTTTTGTTCTGTAAAGAAAGTTTTTGCCATTTTATGTTTTGTAAAGAAAGTTCTTGCCATTCTTTGCTTTGTACAGAAAGTTTTTACTATTACAAAACATTAAAAGGTTTTTGCAGCCTGCGGGAGACATGTTATACGATAAAGCAAAAAATTTAATAATTAATACGTAAAGAAAGTTTTTACAATTTTTTGAAAAAAAATTAATTTTAAAACTAAAAAAAATTTTAAGATTGCAAAAATTTTCTTTACAAACTGAAAAGTGACAAACAGAATTTACAAAAAAAAAACATAAATTTTATCGTATAACTTGTCACTCGCAGCTTGCAAACCCAAAAAATAGCTCTGTTGTATACATATGGCAATAACTTTCTTTACAAAACAAAAAATGGCAAGAACGTTCTTTCCAAAACATAAAATAGCAGGGACTTCCTTTACAAAACATAAAATAGCAAGAAATTTCTTTACAAAACAAAAAATTACAAAAACTTTCTTTACAAAACAAAAAACGACAGGAACTTTCTTGACAAAGCAACTATAAGCAAAAATTATCGTATAAAATGCTCATTGCGGCCTGCAAAACACAAAAATGCCATTTTTAATATGAATTGACTATATCGGGCGTTCGGTATAAAATTTACTGCCTACTGTAACATTTCTTTTTATGTATAGTCAATCAAAAAAACTTTTTCCTAATTTTTTCTAAATTCCACGAAAAGACTGATGGGCTTGGCTGAGCCACCCTCTCACCCCCTTCCCAGCCAGAAAGATCAAAGAAGATGACGTCGAAAGCACGGAACGTTGACCGAAAACGGTATCTCGTAGTGTGACAAAGATCATTACTATAGTAAATCTGATTTTGCAAGATGTATTGTACACAGTCAACTAGTTTCTTCAATTTAAAAATTGAATATTGAAAAAAAAAATTTGAAAACGAGTGTACTTTGTTAGCTAAAGAATTTTGTTTTTGTGGGCGCAGTCTGCAGATGCGAAATAAAAGTTCTTGCCATTTTTTCCATTTTCTGTTTTGTAAAGAAAGTTCTTGCCATTTTTTGCACTGTAAAGAAAGTTTTTGCCATTTTTTGCACTGTAAAGAAAGTTCTTGCCATTTTTCGATAAAAAACGTTCTTGCTATTTTTTGCACTTTAAAGAAAGTTTTTGCCATTTTTATCGAAACAAGTTATTTTAAGCGTTTTGCAGCCTGCGGGTGACAATTTATACGATCGATACTGGAATCATGCTTTTTTCTTTCTGTAAAGAAAGTTGTTGCAATTTTATGGTTTGTAAAGAAAGTTCTTGCCATTTTTTGTTTTGTCAAGAAAGTTCTTGTCATTTTTTAGTTTCTAAAGAAAGTTCTTGCCATTTGTGTCAAAACAAGCTTTTTTAGGCATTTTGCAGCCTGCCGGTGACAAGTTATACGAAGAAAAGCATTTTTTTTGTAAAAAAAGTTCTTGTCATTTTTTGATTTGTAAAATACGAAGTGAAATTACATCATTCCAAAATTTTAAAAATTCAATTATAGTTTGATTCATCAAAAACTGTCACAAGTTTTCCCACGAAATCAGTTTTTCTAATGTTTGAGTACAAAAGAAGATGTAAACATTCAAAAGTGATAGATGATCTTCTTCAACTACACTCACAACAAAGTCCAGTTGGCTGCGTGTTATCACTTTACAGCAGAGTAGAGTTAGTGGAATTGAAGAAGGAAGTGTCATAATATTATTGTCTCTATACCTACTGAAGCCAAAATGAGACTAGCCAAAGGGACAAAGCACAGAATACAAAAATCATTTTTACTCTAGCCTTAGCCTTAACCTTAGCCTTAGCCTTAACCTTAGCCTTAGCCTTAACCTTAGCCTTAGCCTTAACCTTAGCCTTAGCCTTAGCCTTAGCCTTAGCCTTAGCCTTAGCCTGCGCCTTAGCCTTAGCCTTGGCCTTAGCCTGCGCCTTAGCCTTAGCCTGAGCCTTAGCCTGCGCCTTAGCCTTAGCCTTAGCCTTAGCCTTAGCCTTAGCCTTAGCCTTAGCCTTAGCCTTTGCCTTTGCCTTTGCCTTTGCCTTTGCCTTTGCCTTTGCCTTTGCCTTAGCCTTAGCGTTAGCGTTAGCCTTATCTTCAACCTAATCTCTAGCTTAAGCTGCAACCTGTAAATTAGTCTAAAACGTAGCCTTATCCTAACTTTTAGTTGATCCCTAGCCTTATCCTTAGTCTAATACTAAGCTTTAGATTTAGCCTATGTCTATATAATTGCAAGTTTAAGCCTAGTAAATCCTAATCTTTAGCAAAAAATCAGCCTTACTCTATATTAAACACCTACAACACGCTCGTTCTCTTCTTTATATTAATATAATTCGTATCCTACTAGAGTCAGAAAAAAATTTCATCGTTTCAAAAATAAAAAATCCAAAAATTTTGATAAAATTACGCGCCTTGGACCAAACTGTAGCTAATTTACTAAAGTAGCGGTCCATTTAACTAAACCAAGAAAATTATATCTTCTTCAAAAAAATTTTTAAAAAAATTCTTATCAAAAATAATGTGAAATATATCAATATATAAACAAAAAAGTGATCGCCCTTATCAAAAGGTTAAGGTTAATCCGCTCCTTAACTGGAAAAACCGGCTAATCAGAAAAAAAGCAAACTCACGCCTTTATACCCTTGACATAAATCGAAAAACCACTTATACGGCATTCTCGAAATGCTTTTCAAATTAGATAAACAAACCGCAAAAACTTTGTTTACAAAACTCTACCCTACCCTACTTTACCATACCCTACCCTACCCTACCCTACCCTACCCTACCCTACCCTAACATACCATATCCTATTCTACCTCGCCCTACTTTACCATGCCCTACCTATCCTAATATAAATTACCTTGCACTACACAGATGTGTCATACCCTACACTAATTTGATCTACCCTGCCTTCCCTTACCATACTCTAACTCATTCTACTCTGCCTTACGCTACCTACCGTACACTTATACTACCGTACTCTACCCTATCTTATCTTGCCTACTCGATTCTACCCTAAACTACCCTTTCCTACCCTACTACTCAAACCTACCCTACCCTACCCATTTCTAATTATCTCTACTGTACTGTTCCTTAATGTACTATCCTTAAAATCTAAGCTTTAGCCTATGTCTTATTGTTATCCTAAAGCCAAACTTGTGCTTCAACATATGCACTAGCCACCCCCCAGAGAAAAATTTGAAAAAAAGTTTAACGTGCTGCCCCTGTGGATTTTTTCGCCCCCGCCCCCAGACCAAAAGTGCCCACCCGTCCGTGCTTACCCTAAAAAATATCCTACCCCTAAGGCTTGTACAGAATAAAAAAACGTTTCTAAGCAATAATTATCCACCGTAGCGAGCTTCAAAACATCAACCCTAGCTTAAATAAAAATACCTACCCTAGCATGTATTTAAAAAATTTAAAAAATCCGCCATTTCACACGTAATTTTTTTTCGAAAAATACGTTTCGCGACAAATTCGTCGCTTTTCACGCCATTGTCGAAGGAATGTTTGTTCGAAAAACAAGAATACCGTGGCATTTGGGGAATTTCGCGACGTCACAAAAATTTGACAAAACCTATTTCAAGTATTCAAACGTGTGAGGGGTGATTTAAAAAAGAGATGACAAAAAACTTTTTAAATTATTGACAATGATGATAGCTTCTATTCAGATCAAAAGGTCATAAACTAAAGACTAAACAAATACTCTGCTTTATTTTACCATATTCTACCGTATCCTACCGCATCCTGAGTTACACTATTTTACTCACTCTACCTAGCTTTTTTTCCTGTTCTAACTCGCCTTGCTTTACCTTAACTTAGCCTTGCCTTTCTATTACGATGCCTTAATGCTATCTAACTTTATTTATGTCTTATCTCATCCTTATGCTGACTTAAATCTTGACTCATACATTACCGTAATTCAGCCTTTCCTTTACACCCCTAGCTTGCTGTACTTTATCGTATCTACGTTACTTTTAATTTTATCCTATCTCAGTTTTGCCCAATCACAACTCGACTCTATCATATCAATAGACTATCTTCATTTGTACCTATACCTCATATTTTTTATTTTTCTATCTTAACTGTACCTTAACTTAGCCTTACATTATCGTACAGCAGAGCATAACTATAACGAATTGCTCGGTAACTTAAAGGTTGTACACTATTTCTTGTTTTTTCTTAACCTGCCTTTTTCTAGCCTTATGCCACTCTACTCTAACATTTTTCTACCTTTTTCCTGTATTTGTCTTAAAAAATTCTGATTTTACTCTAGCCTTACCCTACCCCTGCTCTAGTACCACTATTATACTAACCTTAGTCTTATCGTCAGCCTACTTTCCCCTGCTAGCTCACCATTAATTTATTCTTTACTACCAATCAATAACGTTGTAATACCGTAATCTTTAAGGCTCCCTTTGAAGTAAAAAATTATTTTATCTTTAGCAAATCAAACAACCAGACCTTACATAAACTACTGCCACTTTGCCCCTATTGTAAACTGTAACAACTGCCAAACTCTTAAAGATCCACCAAATGTTTAATCGATACTAACTTCCCTCTTCCTACTGTACCCTCCCACACAGCTATGTCAAGGTCAATACCATAAAAAGTGTTGTTGAAAAGTGGATTTCAACAATTTATATATATTGTAAAAAACATACCATCAATGGGAATGAGTTGTGTTCGGTCATCATGATGACAGGTCCAAGTAAACAAGAGTCCAAGTGATCGTCAACAAAGTTACAGTGTAATGTGGTAGTAAATAAGCTTGGTTTTATTGCTGAAATAGGTAACAATAATAGCTAATCGTGCAAAATATTATCGTCACGTGGCAATTCATTTTAAAAAAGAATTCAAAACAAGAAGTGTCAATAACAATATACCTAGCCCTAGTCCAGAGCCCTAGCCCAGAGCCCTAGCCCAGAACCCTAACCCAGAGAGCCCTAGCCCAGAGCCCTAGCCCAGAGCCCTAGCCCAGAGCCCTAGCCCAGAGCCCTAGCCCAGAGCCCTAGCCCAGAGCCCTAGTTCAGAGCCCTAGCCCAGAGCCCCAGAGCCCCAGAGCCTAGCCCTTGTTCTAGCTCGAACCCTGGCCTATGCCTTTACTTGAGCCCTAGCCCACAGTTCTATCCCAATGTCCTAAGCTTAGCTTTTTTTTCTAGGCTAGAATCTACCCCTGGCTTAAGTCCAAGCTCTAAGGAGACATAACCGCCGCCCTGACTCTAACACCACGTTTGACCGCAACATTAGCTCTGGCCCACAAAAACAAGTTTTATATTTATATATAATTCCATTTTAAAAAACGATATAATAAAATATTTAAAAAGCTAGAAAAACCAATTTTGTATCTTACCATTTTAAAAAAAAATATTGAACCCTTCTGTTAATTAAAAAATTTTTAGAAAAGCAAAGTCCAGTTTAAGATTCAAATAAGCAAGAGTTTAAATGATAGAGTTACTGTAAAACACTTGATTTTTCAATTTGAAAAGACGCGGTCAAGTGTACAAAGTTACGGTAGACGCTCTCAAGGAAGAAAGTCATTTTTATTTCGAAAGAAATCAATTACTGTTCAAGAAAACTACTTTACTTATCATAGATTAATGGCTATATATACTGCATCATGTGACCGTCACGAAACGTCAAAATTTTACCAAAATAGGCTTTCATTTCGAGCCCTACCCTACGGTAGTTCATCTAACACTGTTTTAACCTTCCTTCCTCTACCCTTACTTTCTATACTTTCCCCCTGTTTAGCAATATTTCCCTGCACAGACCTGTTTTACTTTGGCTTACCGTGTCTATTTTTTTCTATCTTATCTCAGCTCATCTTCCCCCCCCTCCTTTACCCTACCTTACATTTCCTCTTGCTCTACCCTACCACAGCTTCTATTCCTAGTCCTACAATGCCTCATCAATTCATTAGAGAACAAAGAATAAAATAAAATTTTACAAAATTTAAGTAACAAAAACATTAGAATAATAGAATAGTTAAAAGGTTTGTCATCAAAACCATTAATAAAGAGTAGGGAAATTGTGAATCACATGCAAAGTCTATAGACAAAGGCATGAATCGTCTTTGCTTTGAACAATTTAGCTTAATCAACGTTGCAAAAAAAATTTTTTTTTTAATTTAAAAAAATTTTGTTAAAAGCTAAAATTAAAAAAAAATTAACCCCCCTCCCCAAAAAAAACTAAAAAATTCGTTAGAAATTAAAATTTTATATGTCAAAAAAGTCTTGTCGCCAAGTTATAATAAAATACTTAAACATCAACGACAAGACTTTTGTGACACTCATAGTAACAAAACATCAAGCTCTAGGCCTGGCTAGGCATGAGGCACAAACCAGACCGAGTCTGACCCAAATTTAGTACGGGCCGAGCGTGGGCAAAATTTTGATCGGGTCGGACTTGAAAATTGGGCCCGGCCCGTTCCTCATGTCTAGTCCTAGCCTTGGCTCTAGCTTAGCCCTATCCCTAGCCCTAGTTCTAGCTCTAGCTCTAGACCAAGCTCTAGCTTTAGCTTTAGTTCCTAGCCTCAGCTCTAGCTTAGCCCTAACTCAAAGTCCTAGCACAAAGCCCTGTTCTTAGCCTCATCTCTAGCCACATCCCTAGCCTACAACCCTCAAAAACTATTTAAAACCCAAATACCCTTGAGCAACGTCAATCAAAAATAGAAAAACTTCAAAGCAAAGGCCAATGTGTTTTGCGAAATATCGCTTGATAACAGTGATAACAGTCTGAGGGATCATTTTATAAATAAAACACTATTTTAATTCCACTATTTATAAAATGAGACACGTTTGGAAAGTGCATTTTGTACAATATGATATACAATCTAAATTAGTTTAAAACTTTGCAAGCTTGGATCTTAAAATTATAATCATTATTACATATTATAGTTGTGTTACATTACTGTAAAAATTCAAGGTTTAAAAATGGAATACTTAATCACCTGATGATAGGTAATGTAGGTTGAAAAATAGTTACAGCATTAAGAAGCAAGGTATTTCGACTAAAATAAAGTTAAGCAAAGTGAAGATATGGTAAGGTAAAGTTACAGTACGACGAAATTAAGTTGAAGCATAAGTTCAAACCTAGGCTTCAAGCTTAAGCCTAGGCCTAAGACTTAGCTTAAGCCTCACCCTAAGACTAAGCCTAAGTCTAAGCCTAAGCCTAAGCCTAAGACTTAGCTTAAGCCCCAGCCTAAGCCGAAACCTAAGCCTAAGCCTAACCTAAGCCTAAGTCTAAGTTTAAGTCTAAGCCTAAGCCTAAGCCTAAGCCTAAGCCTAAGCCTAAGCCTAATCTTAAGCCTAAGTCTAAGCCTAAGTCTAAGTCTAAGCCTAAGCCTAAGTCTAAGTTTCATTTTAAATCTAAGCTTAACCCTAAGCCTGAGTCTAAGTTTTATCCTAAATCTAAACCTAAATATGACATAGGTTTGAGCTTCATTCTGAGTCTAATTCTATTCTCCAAATTAAGCCTAGACATAAGCCTAATCACAAGCTCTATTTTGAGCATAAGCATAGGCCTAATTCTAATTTAGTGCTAACACTCAGCTTAAGCCTAAGCTAAAACAAGCCTCATAAGTCTAAGTTTAATGCTAAGCCTAAAGTTACAGCTAAACCTAAACGTAAGCTTTATTTTAAGCTCCAACTCTAGCTTTAGTCTTAGTTCTAGCTCCAGCCCTAAATCGAAACGTTAGCTAAAGCCCCTTTTGTCTATTTAACCTAAGAAAAAACAATTTACATCGTATGTCACACAAAGTAACAAACCCAATATAATAATTTATTTACAGTCCAAAGTTAAAAAAACTCAAACCAATTGATAAAAAAGGTTAATAAGCGTTAAAGCAGGTATAACAACATTCATTTCATTTGCACTTTTTGTTTCCGTCACGGGAACTTCGATTCGATCGTAGTAAGTGTGTAGCAGGTCTAACACAACTCCATTCGACCAGCCAAACCCGGTTTGTACTTTATATTCACCACCGTGCCCTGGCTCTGGCACGTCTCCTCCAACGTTGTACTGAAATTTCAAAAAGTTAAAATTGAGCGCTCAATTGAGTAAACTTCAAATTTAAAATTTAATTTTTTAAATATTGGTTTGTTCAATTAATTCTGTGCCCCTTCTTAAAGCAAATTTTGCAAAGCTAAAGGGCACAGTAGTATTTGAACATATTATTAGGTTGTTAGGTAAGTCGTGGGCCCCCCTAACCGCGTATCAGAAAAAAATTTTTTGCGTTACAACAAGAACTAATTATTAATCAAAATAGTTATCATCAACATTAACACAATGTGTCCAACGTTTTTAAGCATTTTTATCCCAGTAGCATAGGATTCAGAATTTCTAGAGCCTAAGAAAATTTTGATGGCTTCCATGACATCGTCATCTTCAGTGGATTGTCGCTGACACATAAATGCTGTCGAAGATTTGAAAATATGGTAATATGTAGCTATCATGTCGAGTAAATACAAATGCTGGTCAAAAACTTTGTATCCAAACCCGTTGTTTTTCTGCGGTCATCGTTGCCAAGTGGGGGCGGACACTGTCATGAACAATAATTGACCTTCTGTTTCTCAACCTTGAAGGTAGATAGTGGCGCATTTGGTCAATATTAATAGAATACGTACTAACAGTTATGGTTTGGCCTAGTTTCAAGGAATTATAGAGAACTATTCTACAGGACCTCCACTTTTCTTCAAGCGTCTCATCTCCAGAAGGAAGCTTTTGGAACCAAATTTTTGCTGTTGTGTAGCTCACAATACTTTGTCCATGTGTCTTATTTATGAATCCGGCCGTAGTTTTAACGTTACGACTTGTTTTGTACTCTTTTACATCACTACCCAAAGTCGTCGTTTGCCCTATAATGTTCTGGCCACTAAAACAACAAAACAAAAAATTAAAAGAGGTTTGAAACTTACATATTCTGAAAATACAGGTTTTAAACTATAAAAGGACATCAAAATTTTCAATTTGCGATATATATTAATTTTTTCCTGATTTTTCAAACATTTGTGTTGAAAGGGGGCCCACGACTTACCTAACAACCTAATAATATAATAAGGTGTATAATATAATCGGAGCATAGTTTCTCATTTTTAGACTACTAGTAGTGCTAGGCGGGTCATTTTTAAGACGGAAAAAACAAAGAAAAACAATTTTTTTTGGGCGGGGTAAAAAAATTTTTTGATCCATCCCCAATTTTTTTTTAAATTTTACGTTTTTGGTAATTAGGCAGTGCCTAAAAATACTTTTTATATTTGTCCCTCTCCCTTCATCCCCTTTCAAAAAAATTTTTTTACCCCGCCCAAAATTTTTTACCCCCCCCCTCCACAAATTTTTTTCTTCATAATTTTTTTGTTCATAAATGCCAAAAAACCTAACTTTTTGTACTTAACCCCCCCCCCCCCCAAGAAAAAAAAATTTTTACCCCGCCCAAAAAAAATTTTTAATTTCCTATCAAAACAGCCTGGTCAAGAAGAAAAAATTAAAATTCCTCTCCTTAAGATACAAAGCCATCGCCCCACCTTTTCAAACATATCCTTGGTCTTGTTGTAGACCTTAAAGTTGCCTTGAATCCATTTCGTAGCGATTTCGAAGCCTTTGTCTTGCATTATGGGGTCGTTCGACTTCCTCAGCCCTTCGATGACCATATGATTCAATGGGCTCCAACCATTGGGAAAGTCCCACTGTTGGTTGGTGGCATTGTTGACACTGGCTGGTATGCCTCCGGGGAAGCTTAAGAATTTGCTTTCCTGAAAATAGGCTTATTAAACAGCGTAGGCTTAGTAAACATAAGATTAGACTAGGGCTTGTGCTTAGCCTTCGGCTTGTTTTTATGTTTGGACTTAAAATAAGTAGGCTTAGATTTAGTAGGTATATTTTTGATATGTTTAAGCTTGGTAGTTTTAGGCTTAGTAGGCTTAGGCTTAGTATGCTTAGGTTGAGTAAGCTTAGGCTTAGTAGGCTTAGAGTTAATAGACTTAGGCTTAGTAGGCTTAGGCTTAGTAGGCTTAGGGTTAGTAGACTTAGGCATAGTAGGCATAGGCTTAGTAGGCTTAGTAGGCTCAGGGTTAGTAGACTTAAGCTTAGTAGGCTTAGGCTTAGTAGGCTTAGTAGACTCAGGGTTAGTAGACTTAGGGTTAGTAGACTTAGGCTTAGTAGGCTTAGGCTTAGTAGGCTTAGTAGACTCAAGGTTAGTAGACTTAGGCTTAGTAGGCATAGGCTTAGTAGGCTTAGGCTTAGTAGGCTAACGCTTAGTAAGCTTAAGCTTAGTAGGCTTATGCTCAGTAGACTTAGGCTTACGGCTTAGGCTTAGAAAGCTTAGGGATAGTAAATTTAGGTTTATTAGGACTAGAGGCTTAAGCTTAAGCTTAGTAACTTTAAACTTAGCAAGCTTAGGCTTATTAAGTAAGCTTAGTCTTAAACCAAGCCTACTAGGGAAGCCTACTAAAGCTTAAGTTCAACTTTTTTTCACAATCAAAAAAGTCTTGTCGTTATTTTACTAAGCTTTAAATGTTGAAAACCGACAAGACTTTCCATTGTCACTAAAATATAGCTAAAAATGCCATTTTAAAGCAAACTACGCTTAAATATGACATTTTAGGCATACATACACCTTTTCCTATCCAACCTACCCCAAGTTTATCAAAAAAGCTTGACACTTTTTGCTCTCATCCAGTCGATTATAACATCCGGTAAACAATGGCACAGCAATCGATGGGTACACCCTCAGATTGTGAGCTTCAGTTCGTATGTTGTAATCATACCACGCTCCTTCAGTTTCATTGTAGAATATCTTTTCGAATGTCTTCCTGAATCTGTCAAACTTTCTTTGATATTCATCAGCCTTTCCTGAGTAACCAGTCACCTCGAACAGGTACCCCAGGATGTCCATATTATAACACAAGAAAGCGTTTAGGTCAACTGGAGCAATGTTCTGAGTCTCCATCGATTGAAGAGTCTGATCGTCGCGGAACCAGCGAGACGAAAAGTCCCAGCCTGACTCGGCAGCACTGGCTGCGGCTTTGAAGAAGAATGGTCGGTCTTCTTCCTGAAAAGTGATGTAGATGGCTTGGAAAAGAGCATAGTTTTAAAATTTTAAAGTACTAATAGTACTGGGCGTGTCATTTTTTATGTTGACGAAGCAAAGAAATAAAAAGAAAAAAATTTTTTTCGGGCGGGGTAAAAAATTTATTTATCTACCCCCCAAAATTTTTTTTAAATTTTATGTTTTTTAATGATTTATTAAAACCTAAAAATAGTTTTTACTTTATTTCGCCCTCTCCCAACCTTCCCTACAAAAAAAATTTTTTACCACACCCAATTTTTTTTACCGCGCCCACTGAAAAATTTTTTATTTTATAATTTTTTCCTGATTTACCAGTACTTAAAAGCCTAATTGTTTTGAGTTTTTTTTACCCTCCCCCCCCCTCCCCAAATTTTTACCCCGCCCACAAAAAAAATTTTTCGGGTAGGGTATGATGGGTTAGGGTAGGTTAGGATAGAGTAAAGTAGGATAGGATAGGATAGGGTAGGATAGGGTAGGATAGGGTAGGGTAGGGTACAGACTTTTTTTAAAACCCCTACCTTCATATTGATAGCAACTTCGTAGTCAGCCAAAAATGATTCCGGGCGTGGCACATTGGTTGGACTTTCATAAAAGTAAGCTCGAACAGTGTCACCGTCAATTTGAAAAGCTTTCGACCGTTGTTCAGCCCAAAAATTGAACTCCTTTTCCAATAGTGAAAGACTACTATTCACAAACGACCTGTCGCCACTAGCTTGATAATACTCATAAACAGCTGGAATCAAGGTGGGAGGATGGGAACGTCTAGTGTAATATGCTCGGCCGCCATTTGGGACGAATCCAAATCTGAAAGTTATTTTTTAGGCCACTTTTAAATCTAGAGAAAAGAAAAATTTTAAGCCAAGTAAAATTTTAGGCAGGGTAAAATTTTGAGCAGGATAAAATTTTAGGCAAGGTAAAATTTTTAAAAGGGAAAAATTTTGGACACGGAAAAATTTTTGGCAGGGGTAAAACTTTGGGCAAGGTAAAATTTTAAAGGAAAAAAAATTTTGGGCAGAGTGAAGTTTTGGGTAGAGTAACATTTTAGGCAGGGTAAAATTTTGAGCAGGATAAAATTTTGGGCAGTGTAAAATTTTGGGCAGGGTAAAATTTTGAGCAGTGTAAAATATTGAGCAGGGTAAAATTTTGAGCAGTGCAAAATTTTGGGCAGGGTAAAATTTTGAGCAGTGTAAAATTTTGGGCAGGGTAAAACTTTGAGCAGTGTAAAATTTTGGACAGGGTAAAACTTTGGGCAAGGTAAAATTTTAAAAGAAAAAAATTTTGGGCAGAGTGAAGTTTTGGGTAGAGTAACATTTTAGGCAGGGTAAAATTTTGAGCAGGATAAAATTTTGGGCAGTGTAAAATTTTGGGCAGGGTAAAATTTTTGAGCAGTGTAAAATATTGAGCAGGGTAAAATTTTGAGCAGTGCAAAATTTTGGGCAGGGTAAAAATTTGAGCAGTGTAAAATTTTGGGCAGGGTAAAAATTTGAGCAGTGTAAAATTTTGGGCAGGGTAAAATTTTGAGCAGTGTAAAATTTTGGGCAGGGTAAAAATTTGAGCAGTGTAAAATTTTGGACAGGGTAAAATTTTGAGCAGGGTAAAATTTTGGGCAAGGTAAAACTTTAGACAGGGAAAAATTTTGGGCTGGGTAAAATTTTGCTTAAGAAAAAAGTTTGGGCAAGCTCAAATTTTGGAAAGCAAAAAAATTTAGGCAGGGTAAAATTTTGGGCAGGGTAAAATTTTGGGCAGGGTAAAATTTTGGGCAAGGTAAAATTTTGGGCAGGGTAAAATTTTGGGCAGGATAAAATTTTGGAAAGGGTGAAAGTTTAAGTAAGGTAAAAAGTTGGGCATGGTAGAATTTTGGAAAAGGTAAAAATGTAAACAGAAAAAATTTAAGGAGGGTGAGATTTTGGGTAGGATATCATTTTGGGCGAAAAAAAAACTTCGTATTCAGGTAGAACTATGGCTAGAGCTAGGGCTAACGGCTAGGAACTATGGCTAAAGCTAGGGCTAACGGCTAGGGCTCTGGGCTGGGGCTAGAGCCAATGCCAGGGTTAAGACTATCGCTATAAGTAATTATAAATTTTATACAATAACTTACTGCTCGACCATTTGCAGCATATTCTTCAACATGTATCTTGAACTAGTTTGCATTCCAGACACCAGCAGTCCTTTGATGATCCAGTACGTGTCCCAATAGTAAAACTCTCTGAATCGACCTCCAGGCACAATAAAAGGTTGATTTACAGGTATCAACGAGTGTCGTTCCTTATCAGCGAATACTGTAGTCTTGACCCTTCTACACAACGTCTTCCAGAGACCGTTTAGGTTCAAAGCCCAATCCCTTAGGTTGGCGTCCTGGATCTTGAGAATGTTGGTCGGCCGTTCAGTCCAGTCCTCTGGCTCACAGTTGTCTAGCTCGCTTTCTGGAGGTGAGAAGAACTCGTCGATGAACTTTTGAAGGTCTGATCGGTCGATTTGGGAGACATCTGGTTCATCTCCAAATCGTTTTTGAAACTCAGCGATAATTATGGCTAAAAAAGACTTAATATGTAGGCTTAGTAGGCTTAGGCTTAGTAGGCTTAGGCTTAGTAGGCGTAGGCTTAGTAGACTTAGGCTTAGTAGACTTAGGCTTAGTAGACTTAGGCTTAGTAGGCTTATGCTTAGTAGGCTTAGGCTAAGTAGGCTTAGGCTTAGTAGTCGTAGGCTTAATAGGCTCCGGTTTAATAGGCTTAGGTTTAGTAGACTTAGGCTTATTAGGCTTAGGAGGCTTAAGTTTAGTAGGCTTAAACTTACCAGGAGCTTGCTTCAAAACACTATCCACATAATCTTTAGAATCATTGTAAATTCTCAAGTGATTAACAGCTTCCAGAAGTGGACCTTTACAATATACTTGTCGATATCTGAAAACATCTTTATTTTCAAAAGGTTTACATATAACGCCCTACCTATCTTACCCTACCGTACCCTACCCTACCCTTCGCTACCCTATCTTACCTTACTCTACTTTACCTTACCCTACCTTAACATACCCTACCCCTTATTTTATCCTATCTTACTCGACCTTACCTTCCTCTACCCAAACCTTTACGTTACATACTCTCTACCTAAGTTACCCTACTCAACTATCTGTTCCTACTTTACCTTACTATACCCGTCACCCTGTCTTGACCCTGTCTTACCCTAAGCCACCCTGCCCAACCTAACCTTTAACATGCCTACCTTTAACTGAACTGCCATGCCCTATCCTACTGTAATTTACTCTGTCTTTTCTTACCTGCCCTATACTGACTTACTATGCCCTCTTCCACTATTATATCCAGGGCTTTACCTGATAGTCACCCCCGAACCACCCCCCCCTCCCCCAAACGACGTCCCTGTTAGCCATAATGTCTTACATTACATACCTACTATACTGTTAAGCTGATTCGTTGTAGTAAAAAAATTACTTAAAATATCTTACTCTTCCTTGTATGATCCATCGCACATCTCGTATTCCTTCATATCTTTGAACGGACTTTGGTCAAACTGATAAAACTGTTGATAAACCATCTTTTTGTTATCTCCTTCTCTATCCTTTCTTCTATTATGTCCACCATGATCTTTACCATCACTTCGTCCATTATACCCCTTATTACCATTACTTTGACCACCATATTCACCATGACTCTTACCATCACTTTGACCATTATATTCACCATGACTATTGACCTCTTTACCACGATATTTCTCTTCATTCTTGCCATAATATAGACCATCCTCTTTACCATCCAACTCCACCTTCAAATTATATACACCATGCCTCGTACCATCAACAACAAGGCCTTCTGAATCTCGGTACGGTGTGCCAAAGCCAAATCGTATTAGGAACACCAGGGCCAGGTACCTTATCATTGTTAACCGCAGAGTCTGAACGAATAAAATGATATGGTCAGTTTCGATTTGTTTATTTGAGCTACCATTCGTGTTATATACGAGTCACATTACAAAGGACCATTAAAATTTAGGGGGCGTTATCAGTAAAAACATAATAAATTATAACGAAATTTTAACAAAAGGATATCACTTCACCTTATCGCATAGTTAGTTAATTAAAAAAGTGATAAGACTTGATAGGTTGGGAATGGTCAAGAATTTGAAGGTTAGATAGGGTTATGGTACAGAGGGTACGGTAACATCATTTTTTGAAAAATTTTTAAAACCAAGTTCCTAAGAACGAGCTATGATAAGATTTTCTTTAACATCAAAGAACATATTTCCTAATCATTAAAGTTCTGTAAAACATATAATGCTTTACACTCAAATTCATCGTATAACATGTCACTCGCAGGCTGCAGCTTACAAAAACTATTAAACTCTGATGCAGGGTTTGTCTTAGGCTTAGTAATCGTATATAGTCCAAGATAGACCTAGGCTTAGTATCCCACCCTATCCTACCATACCTTACCTTACCTTACCCTACCCTAATTTATTCCATCATAACCTGTCTTACCTTCTTCTACCCCACCACTTCATACTTCCGTGCAGATCCCTTAGATATACCCTGTCTTGCCCTGCCCTGCAAATGCCTGCCTTGGTTGCCCTTCTATACCCAAACCTGCCTTCCCTTGCTTTACCCTAAGCTAGCATATCATATTCTATTCTATCCCATCCTGTCCTAAAAAATGTAAAAGCAATGCTAAACTACATTACCAAAAAGCCCATCAACCTAGCCTTTACAGAAAAAAACCTAATTACAATAGGAACTATAAGAACTGTGATAAAAAACGTTGTTACTCCCAAGACAATAGGAGGTCGCCAGAATTTTTTTAAATTTTTATAAGCCGATTGGGGGTGATTGTAATGATAACATTACTATAACTCCCTTGTTATGAAATTTTGAAACAAGGAGGGGCAAATATAGAGTTTTGAGACTACAAAGAACATTTTTAACATTAAAATATTATAAATTTCAGAAAATTTTAAAAAAATTTTTTTTAGGTAACAAAAATATTTTTTGTAAAAAATGAAAAAAATGCCTGAAATTAAAGTAAGTTTTATTATAAAATGGCATAAAACCTTTGAAAATAATTTTATTATTAATTTTAGATACTTACCTGAAAAAAAAAATTTAGGTAACAAATTTTTTTTAATCATAAAACATCAAATTAAGGTTTAATGTAGGCTTAGTATGCCTAAAACGATAAAGATAATAACAGAAACATATTGTTAAAACAGATTTTCCTCAATTTTTGAAAAAAAAAAATTTTGTTACCTAATTTTTTTTTCAAAAGCAAGTTAAAATGACTAATTTAGATCTAAAACTACTGTAAAAGCATAAAAAATGACTACAAATATCAATTTTTTACAATAAAAGCTTAAATAGTAGCTTCTTGTATTACATTGTAGTAGGTAGGTCCTTAAACCAAAATTTCGTTTGAAATTTGCCGCTTTTTTTAAATTTAAAAAAGTATTGACGTTAGTTTTAACAAAATGACAAATCAGAGTCATAATGACTTCAAAAGTTTAATTTCAATAATTTTTTTGATTAATACGGTACTATAACAATACCCCCTAGCTGCCTTAAATAGTAACAATTGATAATAAATAGTCACGTTCCTCAATATCAAAGCAAAACCACACATTCCAGAAACGTTAGGAAGTTTTTCAAGATATCATGATTGAAGGAAAGCATGTTTGATAACAGTATCTTAACAAAAAACTCGAAAAGGCTATGTTTGAGTTGTTAATTGACACCCTTATCAGCACTTGTAAGTTGTTATAACGTGATGGAACTTGATGAACACAAAAAACATATGAACATTGAAGTAAAGGAAAGACTAAGCAAGCTTTTCCTTATTTAATTTTGATTTTTAAACTAAAAATATTTGAATAAAACATCAAAATCTACTATAATACAAAGCAAGTGTAACATCAAATAATAAAATTAAAGAAAAATTTTCAAAATTGACAAAGTTGAAAAAAACTGTCGACAAAACTTTAAAATAAGCTATAAAAATTAATTTGAACTTTCTTAATTACCTATCGTCCTTTACTCTGTTATCACACACATTAACGCATTCGGTCCCGCAACGAAAACGAAACTTGCCAAAATCGTTTGACCTTCCGCTTCAATTTTCGCTTTTCGTCTTTTTTGTTGGCCTTCAACAACAAAAACCTATCGTAAAACGATACCTACGACGTTTTCTTGTCGTATTTAACAAAATTTTAAGAAAATATTGTTTATGACATTAAAATATATTAGTTTGCAACGATTTGATTAAAGTTTTGCGTGTTTATTTGCACTTATAATGGTTTTACTTTTAGTTTCGCTATGGTGCGGACATTGCGAAGTAACGGTGTGGGTTCAGGGGCAGTAACGGAAACCCCAAAAGTTGCAAATGGCACAGATACACCTAAAGAGACTATGAAAAGTCTACGGACGCCACAGGAAAAGTAAGAATTTTATCTCTTATCTTTTTGTTTTAGGCAAGATAGTATGGTTAATATCGACTTTTTGGAGAGCTAAATGTAGATTTTTCGAACGTTTTTTATATTAAAAGATGAAGAATTAAACAATCTTTTTAATTTTGTAAATTTCAAAAAGCGAGCATGCTGCTTTAATGATATTAATCTTGACCGTTAGTGTAATATTGAAAAATTCCGAAAACCCACTTAATTTTAACTTTTTTAGATCAAAACCCAATAAAACCTTGAATGAATCAGCTGAAGACGCAAAGTCAACGAAGAGCGACAACAATGGAAAAACAGACACACCAGTGAAAAGCTTTGCCTTCCTTCTACAACAAGGTATTATTTCTAATGATGCGGAGAAGGTGTTTAGCGCGATAAAAGCGTCTGCTAAGGACAGACCATCATCGTTTCAAACAGCTACTGATTTGGATGTGTCGAAGGTCATTCCACTATTACAGTTGATCAACAGAGTGTTCAGAGAAGGGCAAAAGAAGCGAGTTACTTCCGTTTACCTGCGAGATCTTAAATATTGGATCGATTTCTTGGAGGTCACACTCCAGGCTCATGCCACTTTCTTGTCTACAGTGAGTTCAATTTATGGCAACTGTTTATGCTATTTTTTGTCCTAATAATTCCATTTTTGTGGTTTTCTATCTATTATATTATATTGTACATGATGTATCAATTGATTTTTCACTATTTCTAACCACTTTTTTAGGTAACGAATCTGAATGAACAAATTGGAGGCCTTATCGAATATGTTGAAGCAAGGACGTCAAATCTGGAGAAGTTGATGAAGCTTGACGGTAAAATCACTTTCTTCTGTGAGCAAATCCAACGACGATTGAATCCTGTAAAATATGTTGAACAAGCACCTCAAGTCTTGTTTGAAGGTAAGAATTTTATGTTGTCTTGTCGTTTAGAGTTTTGGCTATCTTTTCATATTAAACTCAAAAAAATTCTGTATTTATAACAGTAGCTACCGTTGAAAATGTCAGGGAAGGTTATTACACTAGGTTTTTAAAGTTTTGGGCCAAAGAAGGTCTGTAAATGTGACGTATGGATAGAATAATACTTTCAGATGACTTATCAGATTCCGACATCGACCCAACAAAGGAACATTCGGCCGAGATTCACGCGGATTCAGATGAAGAAGCGGATTGGTTCGGCGACGACGACAAAGGGCTAGAAAACTTGATGGACGAGGAAGAAGATGAAGACTAATTGTTGATTTTTTGAACTTTATTGTTGATTTTCCCAGTTGTTGACATTTTATAAATTTATATACAAGATTTGGGCTTCTTTTGAGGTATAGGTATTAAAAGTCTTTTTTATGTTTAAGCCAGTACATTGTTGTGAATAAATTGTTAAATCAGGTAAAATAGGATCTGCAGAGCTATAATAAATTAAAGTTTTCCTTCAAGACCTTCCATTATATCCACAAAACCAAATATTGTAAAACATACCACTCAAGAGTTGGTCCCACCACGAAAACACTTCACTATTATTTTATTGCATTTTACATGAAAAACAGATCTGCTTTACGATTTTGAACAAGTACATGTTCATCTAAAAATTTAATATTCTACAACTTTTCTAGCGATATTTTAGCACTTGTAGCGGAATTATGAAAAATAAGGAGAAAAAGAAGAAATCCGGCAAGAAAGCGAGAGAAGAAAAGGCGAGAAAGGTAATAATTCGTTTGATTTTCGATATTTAGATATCAAAGCTTATTCGAATGGACAAGATCATGTTGGCAATTGATAAGAAGGTCAATATCTTTGGTTTTTTGCCTCAAAAATGTCCAAAAACTTACAAAATATTACTCAAAATTCAAGAAAATGTCTAAAACATGAAAACTTTATTTTTAAAATCAAATTAAAATATTTCGAAACGTGGAATTGGAGAATGAGTACCATTTTCACAAATTCACTTATTTTCATGTCCCACAATGAAACTTTCGATCTATTCTTGAGATGCTTGGTTTAACCAAGCAGCTTCAAGTGGAAGATCAAGAGGTGGTTAACTTTTTCGTATTTTATTATACTATTTTAATAACTTACACTTGAGGTTATTATCATTATTTTACTACTTAAAAAAGCCATCTTTTATCAAAATTTTAGGCGTTTTTATCAAAAATTCACTTTTTTACGACCAATTTTCTAAAAAATTCACACTTTTAAAAACGTCATCCAAAACGGATTGGCGCTTTTTGTTGCCAAAAGGCAAGAGGAAAAGATTTAAAAAATACATTTTTTATCAAATTCTGCCGCCAATTAAAATTTTAAATTGATTTTGAACTTTTAGAGGCGAGATTCTCTGTCCGACGCACCCGTTACCTCGTCGGGCGGCTCGGAACAATCCTCCGCCGACGGGCACTACGACGTTGTTGACGACGATAGTTGGTCTGAAGCTCCAACAAGTTCCAAGTGTATTTTTCCATCGCCGTAAGTTATATTTTTGTTTATTTTCTTCTGTTTTTAGGTAAAATTTGAAAAGAAGTATATCTGATGTTATTCATTAGGTGTTGTGGTTAATTCTGCTGTTGCTTATGAATGTAGCGGGCTTAATTGCTGCTTATCAGATTAATTAGAGTCTTAGCTTTCGAATGATGTCTAAATTGACAGATTTGAAAGTTGTTAACTGGGCTTACTGATTTATTTTGTGTAAGAGGGTTAGGTATCATGGTCAATATATTATAAGTCGTTTTTTTGAAAATCTTGATAAATATGGTTTAAATCTATAATTTCAATAGGTAATATAGATTACAAAGCTACTAAATTAATTTATTTTGTGGGATCTTACATCGATTCACTAGGTATACTAACTAATTTTAGTTAACCATCATCAGACTTGATGTTTAATATTTTAAACCAATTTTCAAAAACTTTTAATGTTCTTAGAATTTGGGGATGTTTTTAATAGTTAAAGTTGATTTTCACGATTGTAAATACATAAGTTCTGTAGAGTTTTGGGTCATAATCTTAAAGTTTCATCAAATAATATAGTGAACAATATCTAAACCAACTTATAACTACGTTTTTTAGCAAGGACGACGCACTTGATCTGTTTAAATATTCAAAATATTTTGAACAGGCCCAGTTATCCAGATATATGGCGAATATGCATGGAGTAAGTTGAGTTTTTGTATTCAAAATTATCTTTTAGGACAACGACCCATCCGTTGCCTTCTGGCTAAGTATGTTCCGTGGAGTGTTCGTAAAAGGGGACTGCGAAATGTTTTTGGGCTTATGTCGAGCTATGCGAGCACCAATGAGTAGAGCCGACTTGTTTTTCCGAGATTTATCCGAACCAGAGCTACTTCAACACATCATCATTCATGTGGCGGACTTGCTGTTAACACTGAATGAAACTTTATTCACGTTGTTGGTTTCTCCGCAACAGCCTTGCTTAGAAACCATGCATGGGCATTGCAAGTAGGTTTATTTATGTTGTTTTTGGGATATCTGGCCTTATTTGATGTATAAAGGTTACTGCTTTTGTAAGGGGTTATTTTTGGTCAGAGGTGGTAGATTAATATCGAGTTTTTTGAAAGTTTAAGGAAGGTAGAACAAAATGTTATTAGACTTTTAAAAAGGAAGGCAATTAACATTGATTTCACATAGTTGAAAATCAGAAAGTATTGGTTACATTTTGACAAAGATACGACTGGGTTTTGAGTTCCTGTTCAATATTGTTATAGGTTAGATGTTTGTATGGATTGTGTAAAAAATAATCAAATAATTTGTATTGATCTTAAGCTTAAATAAAAGCTAATAGTATTTAGTTTACTGCAGTAAAAAAGTATTTTACTACTACTTTTTACACTTGAGATATGTGATTTTTTAAGTTTCACCTCGATATTTTTATAGGGGTCCATAATATCGGATGTTTCGGCAGGTTGAACTAGGGTTAATAATACGTTTTTAGGCTTAAATTAAAGCTAAAAGTATGTAGTTTACTATGTTAGAAAGCCAGTTTAGTTAAGCTCTCTATCTTTCATATACAGCTCGTTTTCTTCTACCATACCCATATTATACTAGATCAAACATTTTTTATTTACATTTTTTTCAGATTAATAGCCTTTCTGGGTGATATGTGTGATAGAAAAACGCTTCAAGCGACTCTACACCATAAAGATGCGGATGGTCGAACGGCACTCTATCTGGCAGCACAAAATAACCATACATGTATAGTACACGTCTTGTTGGAGCTTGGAGCAGATCCGAACACGCGAAACGGACGTGGTCAATCACCGGCCTACGAAGCGATGAGAAATGACAGTTATGAGATTGTAAGGAGATTTTGAAATTATTTTATGGTGTTTTATGTTGTAGTAGGTGATTTGGTGAAAAATTTTTTTTGTGAAACGGTCCTTTTTGATTTTTTTGGAATTTTTTGGTTTTTGGAAAGTTTATGGCTTAATAATGGCTTTTAGTATATTGTTTATTATAGTCCACACAAGATTTTAATTTTCAGCTAAACGAATTGACCTTTTACGGTGGAGACCTGTCCTATGTCACATACAATCCACAAGACCTCAACTTTTTGGAAGCTTCCGTGAACTATGACGTGCCATACATAAAAACCTGGGTATCACGCAGACTAGACGCTATGGAAAAGCGCTTCCGAGAATATGTTGCCCAAGCCACCAGCGATTCGATCACCCTGAAGCCGGACACAAAAGTCTCGTCATTGCATGTGTTTCCAATCACCAAAAACCTGGAATACGCATTCGTTGGGGACGTGAAAACGCAGACGATGAGAAGTATTGACTTGGAAATGCTACGGTTTGATGGAATGGAGAATCCGGTGGGTTTTGGAGGGATTAATGAGGGTTTGGGCTTGAAAATGTGGGGATGAGATCGGGAAAAATGGTCATAACTTTTCGGTCGGAAGAGATGATGATATGAACTTTATGTTATTTTGTAGCTAATTGTATTGTACTTAATCAGACTATTAGTTTTTCTTACTTTAAGCCGGAGCCAACCTGGGCGAAGCTATTTTTCTTTAATTTTTTCGAAAAAAAAGGGGAAATATAGGGATGAGGTCGGGAAAGATTGCCATAACTTTTTGACCGGAAGCCCTGGTGGTATAAGTGTGACATTATCTTATAGTTAATAGGTTGGCAGTTACAAATCAAAAAGTTTTTTTCAGTATCTGACGCCAAAGATTCGAGAAATGAAACTTTTTTTTGTAATTTTGGTTTTTTTTGTGAAATTTTGATGACTAAAACATTATTTTTTGATTATTTTTGAAAATTTGTGAAAGTTTAGGACTGTATTCGAAAAGAGAAGGTTAATTAAGGTTTTGTGGTGTTATGTAGTTATATTTTATGTTTTTAGGTACTGTTCTTCATTCCGTTTTGTCACCTGAAACAGAATGTGGACCCGCCGGCCGATCGTTTGATGACGAACCGAGTAACGCTGTTCCACAACAATAGGCAAATGGACGTGATTTTCACACGTCCAATGTGAGTTTTAACAATTTTTGGCACTTTTGGGACATTAACTTTCCATTTGACAATTTTTGAAAATTTGATTTTTTGCAAACTGCGCCCTATGAACCACGACCTGCGTCCTATAAAATTGAATTTTTCAACGATAAACTGTTTAGTTTGTTGAAATGTAGTAAAAAGATGACAATTTTCAATTTCAGTCTGTCAGCAACAACGGGTATTTGCGAAATGGTACCCATCGACGATGGTCCCGCTCACAATGGTCATATCTACGCCTTTCGAATACCTCACACACTATTAACGGGTCAGGAACAAGGACAAAGTAGGTTTTTGGGTTTTTATAGTTCTAAGGAGATATAGTTTGAGTGTTTTTAGCATTTGGATTTTGAATTTTGAAGAAATTTTTGTGGAAAGAAAGTTGTTGCGGTTTTCTAATTTTTCGAAATTTGATTGGATTTTGGTGGTAGGGATGTGGAATGAGTGTATGGGAGTGGTGAAAAATTTTTAAATTTACTAAAACCTTTTTTTCGGTTGATTATTTGCTGGAAAGAAAGTTATTGCGGTTTTTGAAATTTTAAAATTATTTTAATTTTGCCATTTCAGAGCCTCGATTCCACGTGAATTTACTGCTGGAGCTGCAGCACTTTACCCAAGACCAGCTACGCTACACGCACTTTATGATGCAGGCCTACGACCTGCGCCCACAACTCTTGGACACCAAAAAGAATGTATAATACGGACAAAGAGATATCAAAATTTTATACGTCCACCCCTCTGTATCATTTGGTTTTTATTAACGACTCTTACGGACGAGTTTTGATCAGCGAAAGATTGAAAAATGAATAAAATATTTGAACAATTAGGGTCATGGTTAATATAATGGTTGAAGTACTATATCATTGATGATATGAATGTATATTATATAAGGAAATTCTTTGTCGTCTATAAAATACATTTTTTGGTCAAAATAATATTTTAAAATGGCACATGCTTTCCTTACGGCCCAAAAAACTGATATTCCTATCGTATAACTTGTCACCCGCAGCCTGCATAGCGCAAAAATAGCTTCTTTTGATTGCAAATGGCAAGAACTATCTTTACAAAACAAAAAATGGCAAGAACTTTCTTTACAAAAAAAATGGCAAGAACTTTATTTACAAAACATAAAAAATCTTATTTATGACTTATCACCCGCAGCCTGCAAACCCTAAATAAGCTATAGCTAGCTAGGATTGATAAAAATGGCAAGAACTTTCTTTACAAGACATAAAATGGCAAGAACTTTCTTTACAAAACAAAAAATGATTTTTCTTTTAAAATTAAAAAAATAAGAAAAAAGTTCACACGTGATAAACATACGCTTTGTGTTGTTTACCGGGTTTGTTTATAGTCATCGGAACAGTGGATATTGTGATGATTCAACGTATATTACAATACTGTTGTGTTCTCTTCATCTTTCTTCCATTCAAAAAGCGAAGCGTATAAAAACCGGAAATAAAAGGCATTTTATACCTAAACTTTATATTGTACACGGTTTTTATACCTACACTTTGGTGTAAAAGAGTACTGTAGTTTTACTGTAATTTTGGTACAATGTTGCCGGTTAAAAATGTGGCTTTTTTTATCAGTTTGACCTGCTTTGGCATGGTTTTTGGACAGGAAAAGTAAGTCAATTCGTAATATGCTGGATGAAATGATATGCCGTATTTTACAAAAAAAGTTTTTTGGTCCAAAAGTTCAGGGTAATTCAAGGGTAGAACATATAAGAGAGAGTAAGACCAAGGTAGATTAGTTTAGAGAAGGGTAGCGTATGGTATGGTAAGAAGGGTAGGAAAAAAAGGCAGAGTAAAGTAGAGTACATATAATAGAGTAGGTTCTAAGTAGCTCAAGGAAAGGAAATACTGGACAAGATAAGAGCAAGATAGAGCGAAAAAAACGCAAATACAGTAGCATTAGAACGGGGTAGAGCATCATTTAGTGAGACAGACTATGGCAGGCAGGGTAGGGTGAGGAAGGGTAGATTAGAATAGGCTACCAAAACGTAGAGTAGGGTAGGACAAAGTAAGGCAAGAATGCGCAGGGTAGATTTAGGTGGGTTAGGGTAGGGTAGGGTAGAGTAGGGTAGGACAAGTAAGGCAAGAATGCGCAGGGTAGATTTAAGTTGGTTAGGGTAGGGTAGGGTAGAGTAGGGTAGGACAAGTAAGGCAAGAATGCGCAGGGTAGATTTAAGTTGGTTAGGGTAGGGTAGGGTAGAGTAGGGTAGGGTAGGGTAGGGTAGGGTAGGGTAGGGTAGGGTAGGGTAGGGTAGGGTAGGGTAGGGTAGGGTAGGGTAGGGTAGGGTAGAGTAGGGAAGGGTAGGGTAAAGTAGGGTAGGGCATAATAAGGTGGGGGTAGGGTAGGGTAGGGCAGGGTAAAGTAGGTTATGGTAGGGTAATGTAGAGAAGAGTACGGTAGGACATGATAAGTTAGGATAGACTAAAGTAGGATAAGGTAAAACTTTTTAAAATTTGTAATTTCAGTCCATGTTACCTAAAAGTAAGGTCAGTAGGAGTGAATCCGGCTAGAAACTCAATTCTACTCATTGATAAAAACAATAAAGTTCATACTTTTGAATTATCGACCAGACAATTAAAATCTACTCAAGATTTGGAAAATGTTTTCTCAAATGCTCCTGAAAATGTAAGTTGAGCCTTGTAAAGAAAGTTCTTGCCATTTTTTAATTCGTAAAGAAAGTTCTTGCCATTTTTTGTTTCGTTAAAAAAAGTTCTTGCCATTTGCATAAAAGCAAGCAATTTTTTGAATTTGCAGGCTGCGAGTGACAAGTTATACGATGAAAAGTATTTTTTGCACTGTAAAGAAAGTTACTGCCATTTTACGTTTTGTAAAAAAAATTCTTGCCAATTTTTATGGAAATTTTGAAAATAACTTATAAATTGCCTAATTTACCGTACTGTATATATGATGGCATAATATCTAACGCGTATTTTACTTTTTTCAGATTGACCTAATAGTCAGCAATAATGACCAAATCCAATTGGTCGATGAGAGAACAATCCATTCTTATCATCAAAACCCTGATGGCACTTTCGAATCAGTCGGAGGGACGAAACAACTTCATTCTAGAGTCATCTTCTACCCTGACAGCTCGATTTCATTAAATAATGGCACGGTCTATCTTATCAATGTGAGTCATGTTTTGTACCGTATTACTGATTGTATCATACCCTACCCTACCCTACCCTACCCTACTCAGTGATAAGGGTAATGGTAAAGATAGGGGTAGGAGTAAGCGTAGGGGTAGGTGTCGCTCAAAAAGAGCGAAGTAAAACCGTTCCCACAAAATATATCTGATCTATCTGGGAACGGCCAAAAAGGGCGGCCGTTTCGTCTTTATCAAGATTTACATAACAATGTAATAACCGTTTGATTAATCATAAACAAGTCACTAATGAATGTTTGTAATTGGTACAAACAGTGTGAGCTCTTTTTGTGCATCTGGCGTACAATAGCTGTGGGTGGATCCGGTATCCAATAGTGCCAGAACAATAGCTGATCGTTCTGGGTCGTATGGATTAGTCAATCGTAAATAGCAGCACAGGAGAGCTGACGGTGTGGAATGAGGGTCGCGTGGTAGATACGACTCGCTGAGCTTCTCTTCTTTGTTAGGTGAAAGTGCATAGAGCTCGTAGCCGTTGTTGCTGTCATTGTCATTGCTGTCACTGTCATCGTCGATGGTCAGCATTGCAACTTCTTTAACAGGGGTGGCATTGCCTCCAGTAGGTTTAAAGAATGGCTTGGCAACAGTTGATGACCATCGACAACGACAATGACAGCAACAACAATGACAGCAACAACGTCTACGAGCTCTATGCACTTTCACCTAACAAAGAAGAGAAGCTCAGCGAGTCGTATCTACCACGCGACCCTCATTCCACACCGTCAGCTCTCCTGTGCTGCTATTTACGATTGACTAATCCATACGACCCAGAACGATCAGCTATTGTTCTGGCACTATTGGATACCGGATCCACCCACAGCTATTGTACGCCAGATGCACAAAAAGAGCTCACACTGTTTGTACCAATTACAAACATTCATTAGTGACTTGTTTATGATTAATCAAACGGTTATTACATTGTTATGTAAATCTTGATAAAGACGAAACGGCCGCACTTTTTTGGCCGTTCTCAGTTAGATCAGATATATTTTGTGGGAGCGGTTTTACTTCGCTCTTTCTGAGCGACAGCAGGGGTAACGGTAGGGGTAAGAATAGGGGTAGGATAGCATATTTTAACTGCCATTATTTTTCAGGGTGGAGTATTTGCGGACTACAACCTAGCCTCGAACACCCCTAACATTCTTGGCAATCGTGATGTTGTGTTAGCCAATCTTCCAGAGAGAGGTTTTTCGGCTTTTCCGATTGATAATCAACCAACTCAAGCCAATCTCTACGTATTTTTCGACCAAAAAGTGGGCGAGTATAATATGGAAGAAAAGGTTTTGAAAAATGAAGTCAATGTGAATCAGTTCTTCAGCTGTTAGGCTACTGTAACATTTTTTGATTTTTGTATTTACTTTTGGATTACTGTAGATAAAATCATTTTTTTAGTGCTGTAGCTTTTTTAGCGTTACTCTACCCTACCGTACTCTAACATACCGTACCCTATCCTGCCCTACCCTAACCTACCCTACCTTACCCTACCATGTCCTTTTTTTCCTACTTTTGGCGTTCGTTTGGGTTACTGTAACTTTTCCTACCAGTATTTTCTTCAAATTTTATTTACAATTCTCAAACTGTAAGTTTCAAGAACTACTGTAATCTAAAACAACATGGCAAGATAACAACAAATATATCCGCTTTTTCAAATAATTCAGTGCCCCTATATAAAAAAGTTTGCCTCCTAATAAGCCTAAATTTGTTTTGAAAGTGGGCACAGAATTATTTGAACAATCTAATCGTATAAATTTACAAAAAATGTTAAAGTGAAGACTTCTTTAAAACTGTATATCTACAACAACATCATTCCCCAGCTTCCAATCAAACCATCATACTATTCTTTCTACTCAAACCACCACATTGTCCATCACATACCTCAATACTTGATCTTCTGCTTCTTCAATAATGGTGCTTTTTCGTAGTAGTACAACTTGCCCAACCGGTTCTTGGTCTCCTTTCCCTCCTTTGTCTCAACACAACATGCTATCAAGGTCTGGCTTCTCAAGCTCCAATTCAGATCCATTATTTCTTTCGCAACGCTAGCCGTGTAGATATGGCTGATTTGGAAGTCGTTGGATGTTGTGTCGAATGACAATGCATATATCTCCAGCTTGCCCCAGTTAAAGGCAACGGCGAAGCGACACGGGTCGGTCAGCTTCGACGGCCGACGACGATGCGCTTCTGGCCCGAAGGTCACGGCCATACATTTTAAGTCTCTGAATATAAAAATGTAAAGTTTTTTCTATAATTTTTGTAAATTAGATTTTAATTTTCAGAGTTAGTTTAACCACTGTAGTAGATTATATTAACCATACTCATCAAGAAGCAAACTTTTGAAAAAATGATATTTTAGGTAAAAAAAAGTGTCAAAAACCACTTTATATGTATAGAACGTAAAAACAATCTTTTCCATCACTTTTTACTATAAAAACCCAACAGAAAATTTTCTTTTAACCATAAATCTCGATTATATTAACCATGCCCATCAAAGAGCAAACTTTGTAAAAAAGGCATTTTAGATAAAATAAACGTCCAAAATTGGGTTTAGATATCTTGAAAATGCACAATCGATGTCCTGTCCGTCATTTTTTATCACAATAACACTACTTTAAGCTTCTATTCCACCAAAAACATCAATTATATTAACCATACCCACCAAATAAGCCATTTTTCCAAAAAAAAATCTTTTAGAGTTTTTTAACCAAATTTCTCAAAACTTTTCATACACTGACCCTTTCCATTCCTTTATTTTCATATTGAATATGAATTTGTGTTCCCGAGGGTCGAAATACAGAAGATATACCAAATTAGGTAGGACCACCAAAAACTGATGAGCTTCCATTTCATCCGAATTCAACAGTGTCCGTGATGCTATCGACAACAAGCCATTGTTGTGGTCTGGTATATAGTATTCGTACTGAAAATGGTAATTGTCAATCTGTTTTTCAAATTAAAAAAAAATTTTTTTTAAACATCGTTAAAAAATTGAATCATTACTTACTTTAAAACTGTTTTTACAAAAAACAATGCCAGAGTACGTATTTTACAATCCCCAAAAATTAAAAACCACCTTTGTTATCCAAAAAGTAAAAAAGTTTTGTCAAAAAACTAGCTAGGTCCCACCGAGATTCGAACTCGGGTCGCAGGATTCAGAGTCCTGAGTGCTAACCGCTACACCATGGAACCACACGCGCTCTTCTCTTCCGAAAGCTCTTTCTCTTTTCGCGGGGGTTTTCGGCTGGCTTTGCTCTTGATTTCCGGCTTATATCTTTAGTTTTTTAAATATTTTAGGCTTGCTTTTTGCTTTTTATTATATATTAAAGATTATTTTAATTATATTTTGACTTATAAGATCAGTAGTAAACGCTAGTTATAAAATTTTAGCAAAGTAAACCACATACTTTTGAACAGCTTTTAAAAATACTTTTTATAGTTCTAAAAAAATTTTCCTTACCTTACTAATTATAAGCATGCAAAAGCCTTTACCTTGCTCATTATAATCAAAAAAAAGCTTTCTTCTTACCTACAAGACCCAAAAAAAAACCAACAACTTACCCAATCAACAATGGTCGAATCAAAAGAATCGAACAAGACCAAGCTGGCATCCTCGAATCCAATGAAAAACAGCTCCGGAGCCCCAAAGTTATAAGGTTTTATGTACATAATAGCTCCAGAAAAAGGCTTCATCTTCTCGATATCAGCTTTCTTGATATGGCAATCTCTGCGCAACAAATCTTCACTTAGTTCGTACATCTTTTTGTTGCACCGTTCGTCCATGATGCTGAATCCATTCGCTGCCCCAGGCATTGTGTCAGGTAGAATGAACTTTTCTTGGAAATAGACGGCCTTACAGAAGCCGGCATGGTTAAATGGGATTCGTTTTTGTAGGTTTAGTCTTGGTTCTTTGTTATCCACGGCTAGGTCCCAGGCGAACAGGGCTAGGGAGCCGCCACGGAACTGGACCCATATTGTAGTAGTTGAGAGGGAGCCCATTTGATTTATACCCGATTCTTGGCGTGATAACACTAAAGTCGTGCTATTAGTTTATTGGAAGAAGAGAGGTTTTCGTATTTTACAAAAAAATTTTTAAAAAATAAAAACACTTGCCCATTCCTTCTTCATCTAGAATCCAATTTGATCGTTCATCTTGAATCTCATGTTTCCTTTTGTCTCCTTTTCGTAATGAGTTTTCTAAAACAACATTTTAAAGTTTATATTGTTATAGGTATCTCTCCCTGTCTACTAACCCTGCCAGTACCGTTACATTTACCCCTGATTTATTATGCGCTGCCCTACTTAACCGTACCCTACCCTACCTTACCCTTGTTGACCCTGCCCTACTTTATCTTATTTTACGCTGCCGTACCTCTACGTTACCCTTGTTTGCCTTGACCTACCCCTAAATTACAATATTTTTCCCCAGCCTACCCCTCCAGTACCCTACCATACCTTACACTGTTCTGATCCCCACTGTCTCTCGCCAGTTTTCCTGCCCTATCCATCAACTACCTGACTTAATTCCGCCCTACCCCTACGTCACCCTAGTTTACCCTGCTATTACTTACATTATCTTACCCTGCCCCGCGCTATTTTACCTTACCTTACCCTCCTCTACTCCACCTCAACCTTCTCTACAACACAAACACTCTAACTTACTATAAATAGCTCCACAATATTTCCTCGTAATCAGATCGTATAAATAAATATCGCCATTTACCGTCCCAGCCAAGAGTAATGTTTCGTCGTGTTGATCATCTCTATTGTAAGGCGAATCGACGGCCAAAACACAAGTTATAGCCCCATCCATAACTCCATGAGACACGAAACTCGGCTCCAGTTCGATAACTCCGTCTGGTTTTGAAGCCGGCGGGGGTTCGACAATTGGGTTGTGGTGCTTGGACCTTAACATTGTTGGTCTGAAATTTATTTTAACTATATTTTTTATATTGCCCATTATTACATTTTTTAACGTTTGCACCACAGCAGTTACCAAAAATAAAAAAAAATGCAGAAAATAAAAAATTTCTTACCCTTCCTCTCCTTTTCACACCAAAAAAAGTAATCTTACACGTTAATTTTAAGAAAATATTCAAATCCACAAAAAAATGTTTTTTACCCCGCCCAACCACCACCCCCCTTCTAAAAAATTTGAAAACATCGCCATTACGACTTTATAAGAATATCTATATCACTAATCTCAATTTTTATAATACCTAGAGAAATCAAAAATCACCCCGCCCAACTCCCCGCCCCCCCAAAAAAATTTAAAAACACCACCATTCTGACCTGATAAAAACATATTCATATCACAATCTCAATTTACGTGCTTTTACATAGAAAACAAAAATTACCCCGCCCAACATATTATATATCAAATCATCAAAAAATAACATAAGTATAGCAAGCTGTTTCAAACTGTTATTATCCATAAGAATCAAGCCTCCTCTACTAATTAGATGCTTTATTAGTATTTAGGTCTACAATAAATTACAATTTATTTAGGAAAAAGTCATCGATACCAACAAATACTTAAATAAAGACGCTAGTTCTGAACTGTCAGTGGGTCTCGTTGGCCTTCAAGTTTGACCACGAGTTTCTGGAGTTCTTCGTCGTACTCGTGCCGTTCCGTGATGTTCTTCACCATGTTGATGATAAAGTTCTTCAGCGATGGGTATCGTTCGTAAATCTTCTGGAGGGAATGGTGGAGGAGTTTTGAGATTGGGTATTCGTTTAGTAAGAGTTCGATGGCTTGTGCCACCACTTCTTTGCCCAGCTGGAAGAGACCGGTTTTATCGACCAGTAGGAGGTCGGTGTCTGAAAAGGAATAGTTGGTAAATTACTAAAGCTTTACAGATATTATAATGTACGTCAAAGTAAGATATTAGTAAGGGTAGAGATAGGAGGTAGAAGATAGGGGTTAGGAGGTAGGGGGTAGGGGGTAGGAGGTAGGGGGTAGAGGAAGTAAGGGATAGGGGGTAGAGGATAGGGGGTAGGGGATGTAGGGTTTAGTCAGCCAAAAACCCAACAAATTTATATTACAGTAACCATACAGTAACCCAAAACCCTTTTCTCCCAACAAATCAAAAACTGTTTAAAACCCCCTTACTATGAACAAGATGGCCCATTTCGATCATGCCCCTCGGTTCACAATGATGTAGTTCAATCAGCAGTTCTACTGGACTCAACAATGGTTCGTGTGTTTGAATATGCCTTCCATATAACAATTTCTTAAAGAATATCGGCACAGACTTGTGATATGTCGCATTCATCACGAATTTAGGTATCAAATTGAGCAGCTCTTCCTTATCAAAACCGGTAATTACTGGTAACAGGGACCTTATGTCCGTATTACGTTTATTGTGAAGATTTCTGACTTTGGCCACCAGTTCTTGGGTTGGAGCGTCTGAAATTTTAAAATTAATGTTTTGAGACTTGTGGATGAGAAAATTAATATGATGACTTATAGTTTTAGTTTATAAAGATTTTTTTCCATTTTTTCTTGTAAAATACGCAACAGGTTAATATTATAGTATGTAGTCCTTGTCTTTTTTTGTTTTGTAAAAAAAGTTATTGCCCTTTTTTCCTTTGTAAAGAAAGTTTTTGCTATTTTTTGTTTTATAAGGAAAGTTCTTTCCATTTTATGTTTTGCAAAGAAAGTTCTTGCCATTCATATCAAGAAAAGCTTTTTTACAAAAGCTTTTCTTGATATGAACCTGCAGCAGGTGACAAGTTATACGACACGAAGCATTTTTCGTTTTGTAAAGAAAGTTCTTGCCATTCGTATCAAGAAAAGCTATTTTACGTCTTGCAGGCTGCGGGTGACAAGTTATACTATCAAAAGCATTTTTCGCTTTGAAGGAAAAATTTTGCTATTTTTCATGCGCATTAGTTTTCAAAATCCAAAATTTTTCAATTAAAATTTTCTAGCTGCGCCCTAGCTTCAAAACTAAAATTTCAAAAATTCGCCTCAAAAAAACTTTTTAAAATTTCAAAAATCCTTATATTGTCCTTACTTCTCTCCGTTAACAAATTCACAATCCTAGCAATCAGGATCTCGGCTCCAGGTGGACAATTCTCAATCGTGTCCAAGAGTGCTTGTGAGTGCATATCAATAGCTTTGATGCCTTGCACAATGCAGTTGAATATCGTTCTTTGTGCGTCCTTGGTTGTTTTAGCCGTAATTTCGGCCAAATGTTTCAGTAGACTGTCATCGGACGGTAGTAGGGTTACTAGTAAATGGATTACTGCTTTGACCAGTGACTCATCCCATGGCGTGTCGTCTTCTAGAAGGTCGGCTTCTTCGTTCGATAGTCGTCTCACTTGTACCACTATTTCTTTTGGCGCGGTTGGTGAGGTGAGTTGGTAGCTCATTTCCACAATGGCATCGCGGAGATCGTCTCGGATGTAGTCTACTACATAAAGCTCTTTCGCTGTTGTTACACACTGAAGTTTTTTAATAAAAAAATGTTTGTGTCGGAAAATAAGTTTTTGCCATTTTTTGTTTTGTAAAGAAAGTTCTTGCCATTTTTTGTTTTGTAAAGAAAGTTCTTGGAATTTCTGCCAAACCGAGCTATTTTATGGCTTTCCAGGCTGCTGGTGACAATTTATACGGTAAAAAATGTGTTTTTTATTTTGTAAAGAAAGTTCTTGTAATATTTTTGGACAAACATAGATATAGGTACCATTGCCAATTAAATTTTCCAAACTGTTTAAAATCCAGTCAAACACTCCCTTTAACCCCTTAAAACCCTTACATTATCCCTAGCATCATAGACGACTTGACCACTTCTTTCGGCCGAAACCACCGGTTCGTAGTAAGAAAACGAGAGGAACAGCTTCAGAAGCTCGGAGCGTTGTCTCGGCCTGGTTAGGATCATTTCTCTCAATGTGGTCATACCAAAAGCACCGTAAATCGGGTCTAAACAGGACTTTTTCAGCCAGGTTAAGGCGGCTGGGGTGACTAGTGGAACTTCGAGGAGGATTCGATGGAACAAGCTGAAAATTGTGAAGCTTAGTGTTGTAAAGAAAGGTTTTGCCAGTTCTTGTTTCGTAAGGAAAGTTCTTGTCATTTTGTGATTTGTAAAAAAAGTTCTTTCCATTTTTTGTTTTGTAAAGAAAGTGCTTGCGATTTTTTGATTTTTAAAGAAAGTTTTTGTCATATATTGTTTTGTAAAGAAAGTTCTTGCCATTTTTATTATAAGAATTCACTTTTTTAGTTTTGCAGGCTGCGAGCGACAAGTTATACGATGAAAAACCATTTTCTGTTTTGTAAAGAAAGTCTTTGCCAAAATCATTTTAAAACTTAAATCTGCATAAAGATGCTCCCCTACCGCACCCGTCCTCAATCCACAAACTTCAAACTCACGTTTCCTTGTTGTCCTTTCGATTGAACAACAATCCCAATATCGAGCACAATGCCGTATCGTACCTCACATACTTCTCTTTTACGTCTGGTTCACCTTTACTATTCAAAACCACCGTATACCCCCCGTACTGTATGAAAAGTTCATTTAGCCATAGTAATGCCAGTTCGGCTCGATTCTTCTGATCAGCAATGATGTACTCGATCAGCATTTCAGTAAATTGCTCGTGAGTTTTGGACAAATATCGAGTTGCCAGGCGGGTTAGAAGTTGATGTTGAGCTAGGAAAGCGCCGCCTTGATTGGCTCGTCGTTCGTTGTCCATGATGCGTTGAAACGCCATTAGGGAGAGGTTTTGAGCCTGGGGCAGGAGGAGTTCCTTGGTGTTTCGGAGAATATCCCATTGGGTGATTCGTGACTTCTTTGGAAGCTGGAAAAGTTTTCATTTTAATCAGTTAAACAGAAGAAATAATTTTGACATTCTTCGCAAAGAAAATTTTTGACATTTCTTATTTTGTAAAAAAAGTTATTGCCATTTGAATCAAAACAAGCTACGTTACGGTTTGCAAGCTGCGGGTGACAAGCTGTACGATGAATATAATTCTTATGTTTTGTAAAGAAAGTTCTTGCCATTTTCTGTTTTGTAAACAAAGTTCTTGTCATTTTCTGTCTTGTAAAGAAAGTTCTTGTCTTTTTTCGTTTTGAACAAAAAGTTCTTGCTATTTTTTCGCAAAAAAAAATCAAAATCTTATCAAACCGCCAAAAATGTACATGGGTTCGTAGAGGAAGCCGGCATGAGTCGACCGGTATCCTGGATAGTCCACGCAATCGCTTTGCCAACCCTCTGCACTCCCATTTTCATCGACTGAAAGCGGGGAATCAACTAGTCGGCACGCGGATTCGAACCCGCGAGCATTCGCGCTTCATGTCTAACTCATTACCTCTACACTACAGAAACACAGTGGTCTTTTTGCTTGTTTTATCGCTATTTTTTGAGTTTTTTTTGTAAAATACGAATAGAAAAACACTGGTTTCCAAAAAAAAATTAAAACCGCAATAACTTTCTTAACAAAATTTTTTAAAATTATACAAAAAATTGCGTCATTTTTTTGATAAAAAAATTTAATCAATTTTTTAAAATCAAAATTATATAATTTTTTAAAATTAAAAAACTTCAAAAATAAAATTAGAAACTTACCGAAGGTCGTACAAATTTGTCTTCATCCGTAGTGGAAGTCGAAGGTCCTTCTAGTTTATCTTCTCTACCGGGCGTTGGTGGAATTACAGCACCTTCCATACGTGCTGATTGACGTGCTGAAAAGTTTTTTCATTATTCAAGACTTAAACTATTTAAAAAATTTTTAAATTTCAAAAAAAAATTTTTTAATTTTAAAAATTTTTTTTAATTTAAAAAAAATCGCCTAAGCCAAGCTATTGGTATACAAGAACTCGTATTTTACCCTTACCCAAGTACTGTTGTTGTTTCTGCTCCCTAATGAACGTGATTCCCGGTCCAATGCCTTCTTTTGTCAACTGCATGGCAATGATTTTGGCCAAGTACTTCTTCTGCTCCTCTGTTCCAGCATTATCGATCCGAGTGTAAGTCGATTGGAAGGCTGGTGGCATTTCGTCAGGTAATGTGAATAAAGAAATTGACACCAGCTTTACCACTACATTCAGTGATAGTCTGTCGAAAACATAATCCGTTGTTATATCGACTGCTTTTTGAGAGGCATCTGCCAAATCTTTGTTTCCATCGGCTCCACGAAGGATTTCAGCCGTTCCTTCGTCCAAATAGTCGTCGTCGTTGAGCTGAAAATACAAACATAAAGCTTTTGAAGTTGTAAGTTATTTAAAAATGTCATTTCTTAATCAATTTTAGGCTTTAAGTGATCAAAAATAGCAAACAATTGACTATAATCACAGTTGATGGCTAGTATAAGATAATTTTAGACAAATCTCATAACTTCTGCTATTTTAAACACTATAACACATCTTATCATTACATAAGGTCCTATAAAACCTTTTTCTACACTATTATTTAACTATTAACTCAAAAATTTTTTAAAAAATCGACAATTAATGCTTATGATAATATAAAATAAGCTGTATCTCAAACACCAGTTAATTTTAAAGCCTAAAACACTCCAAATTTGAAAGACTCTATGTTATCTTATAGTGAAATATCTAAAGTTATCAAGATCAAAAACTTGCCAAAAATAAAAAACATAACCCTACGACCCACACCTAGTGGGCAGTACAATATAAATTTAGTTATAACTCTAAAACTCTTTATCATAAAAGATAAAACCCATTCAAAAAAACCTTAATAAACCTCCAAAAACCTACCCTAAACTTCTTAGAGTCATCATTAGTTCCATCCCCGTTCTTTTTGTCCTTTGAAGTTGAGGGTCCAGCTTGATGCGCGGCTCCAGCGGCAGCCCTCGCCAATGCCGTTCTTTTTTGCAACACTGCTGCAACTTCCGCTCGTTGAGGCATATTCCTTTCAATTTCGCTTTGTGAACATCCCAACTCGGTCAGTAGATGTTGTAGTCGTGGATGATGAGAAAAGTTGATCGGATGTTTGAGCATCTTCAACATGTGATACCTCAGCTCTTTCCTCAACGATTTGACCTGATGCGTAGCTAATGTGGGCGGAAGATTGATGTGAAGAGATTCTAGGGTACTTATTACCTAAAATATGTTAAATTCATTTGCCTTAAAAGTGCCAAACGTCGGCCTAAAGCTAAAAAAATATCCGAAAAAAAGTTATCTAAAATCAATTTTAGTTAAAACTACAATAAAACAAGCCTAAAACACTAAAATACCTGTGTCATTCGTTCAGGCCTTTGCTTAGCAATATTACAAGAAACTTGAAGAATAATCAATAACGTTTGAGATGTTATAGTAGACGAATTTAGTTCGTCGATAAGCCTTGAGAAGATATGATTCATTTCACTTTCCATTTGACGTTGAGATATAAATCGATGATCTATTAGGCTTAACCCCGTTAAATCAAAACGCTTTTGATACTCCTAAACAGTATTTTCATATTATTCAGCTTGGAATTGATGTCTAGGATAAGATCAAAGAAGTAAAAATTTAAAAATGTTTTCTAATTTTGTTAAAAATATTGATAAAATGAATAAAATTAGAGCTACTAATCCTAAAATAATCAAAAAAATATAAAAAACCCACTGTAACCACACTAAAATCGCTTCGACTACTTTGAGTCAATATAACAGTCTCCATGAACTTGACACAGTATATCCTAAAGCCCTCATCTTCACTGTCAATAAATGCTAAAATCCTAGCTTTAACCAGGTTAAACATATTCCAGGTTTTTTGAGCTTCGGAATCATTTTTTCGTTCATACGCAAACTTGAGCACATTTGGGTAGATATTCGAACAAACAGCTATAGCACGCTTCTGGACTTGATCCGAAAATGCGGTTTTCTCATGTAAAACATAGTTTAGATTGTGGGTAATCTTCTTCAACACATCTGGATCTTTTTCTCTGAAATAATACAAAGTTATGGCCAAATTTACGTCACAAAGCTATATTATCCATGGTAACAGCTTTCGACTTCGAGTTTAAGCCTAAAAATCAAAGCAAAACTAAAATAACTTACACAGCCTTCTCTATAAACCCCAAAGTGAATTTACAAAACTCTGGGTCAGCTCGCTCCGACAGGAACTCCAACATCTCGTCCAAAAAGTTGTCCAACAATGAAAGTTCAGATTCCGAGAAGATAAGATTCTGAGCTTCTTCCAAATAACTAATTGGCGGCTTCTCTTCACCATCTTTTCTCCTTGGCAATCTGGCTTGTCGAAGTAAATCACCAATCTAAAACAACAATTTACAAATATAATGCAACATAAGATCGTAAAACTTATATTACACTACATGTTATAGCAAAATTAAGTTTAAAACCAAAGAAAATAAAGAAAATATGATAAAAAATAGTGTAATTTACCTTTTTGTTCACATTTTCTTCCTCTTCCGCCATTGTTGAGGACAATTTGTTCAGAAATTTGACCAAAATTTTCCGCGCAAAAAATAATATTCTTTTTAGTTTAACGGGACGCCAATGTTTGTTTTCGTGTTAGGACTTAAGTAATGGCTCGTTTTTCTGTATTTTAACTTCCCTTACTGTAAAAAATGTCAAAAATTTATAAATAGCCCATACTGGCTCTATCAATTAACTATTTTATTGGCCGTTGTTGATGTTTTAATTGGTAATACTTCTACTGTAACAGATTTTGTTGCACCAAGTAAGAAAAAAAATTTTATTAGTCATGGGACTGTTTATTTTACCTTGATTGACCTAAAATACCATTATTTTGAAAAAACCTTCAATTTGGCAATTTGTGTTTGCATGGCCGAATGGTGAGTAAGCTAACTTTTTCTTCCAAAGCCTTAGGGTTTGATTCCGGGTGACGCAATTAGTGTTTTTACGCTTATGATTGAAATATTGAGTAATTATAACGAAATATAATTTATTAAATATAAAGACCTTTTAAAATTATATTTTTCCAACATTTTCTTATCAAAATAACAATTTATTAACAATCATGAACAACATTATGTACAATATCAGTTAAAGTCCAATATTCCTTAAAATTTCTCATCAGTCACTTGTGGTGAAACATTTTCAAATGAGATCGTATCTGTGAAGCTTGGATTCTTTGTGAACAACATATGGCTACGGATTCTGTCGTATCATCGGTTATCGTACATGACAGTCGTATCTCATGATCATGAACAAGTTGTCCATCAAATGGGGGTTTTATTGAGTGATAGTGATGTATATGATCATGGACTTTGCGTAGATTGCCATAGACGGCTCCACATTCAGTGCATTGGTTACTGTAACAAAAAAGGGTGAGATTTGTAAGTGTTAGGTACTATAAGGTCATTTTCATTTACTGTAAGGTAAACTTAGGTATTATATGGTAATTTTATATATAATACAGCAGTGTTTTATACAGAAAACCTTATTTTATCCTTTTCGAGACCTTTAATTGGTCGAAACATCACGTTTCCTAACTTTCCCACCACTACCTACCAATGTGAATATTGTTCATTCTGTTCGAGTGTGGTGCTCCCAAACCTCAGCAAGTAAGAGTTGATGTTGTGCTCGATCTCCATGTGATTCTCCAGCTCTTTTGTGTCATAATTCTCCCAACAAATGTCACATTTCATGACTTCTGGCTTCGAATCTTGGTGAGACATCAAGAAATGGTGGTTTAACATGGTTTTGGTCATGAATATCACATCACATTGATCGCATACTAGCTCGGATGAGTACTGGAAATGTTACAAACAATCAAATATGTTATTTGAATAATCAAACACTAATCATTTCTTGTTGAATTCACAAGAAAAATTATCTTATACTCCCCAAACCTACCATTTGTCCATATTTTTGTTGAATTTTGGTCCTAAAGCGATCGTTTCCATCATGAAGCTTTCGATGACTGTTGCTCGTTTCTGCTTTATCACTATCGTGTGTCATTCCACAACGTCTACACATGTCTTCCGGTTCCTCCTCGGCTTCTTCCATCGGTTTTTCAGCCTCTTTCTTGGCTTCGAGGGCCTTGGCTCGAGCTCCTGGAGTTTGATTGAAATATTCCCAAATTTTTCGAATCCTCTGGATCAATATCATGATTTCTGGCATTCGATCTTTGTGTAGTTCCATGCCGTGCTTCTCGAGACCATTTTGAGTGAGAAAGAGCTTGGAGCAGAATGGGCATGGATAACATTCCATTACCGTGGATTCTTCTGAAATTCTGACATTTTTAAAAAATGAATGGTCATGAAACTGCTTTTATTTGCTTTTTAATTCATTTCAAAGCTTTTATCGCTAAATTTTGTCTAACTTTGTAATTTTTTACCATGAAAAGCAAAAAAACTCCAAAAATTTTTGGTCCCACCACGAAAACCCCATTTGAACAAAACTGCAATAACGTTTTAAAAAAATTTCTTTACAACCTAACTCCCAATAGAAATATAGTTAACCTAAGTGAAATCTTCCCCCCCCAAAAAAAAATTTTTTGAAAAAAGTTGAACGTGGTCCCCCCTGTGGATTTTCAGCTACCTGTGCCGATTTTTTGGACCCCCGCCCCCAGACCAAAAGTCCCCGCCCGGCCCTGGTGGTAGCTAAACAACACAAAATTTCGTATTATACATTTAAAAAACACAATTTTTAAATAAAAAGTCACTTACCAGGTACTAATTGAACTTCCCGTTCAATTGGCAACCTTACAATAACAGATTCGGGAGCCTTTACTGCCACTCCGGCTTGTACAATGAAGTTCTTGTTGAGCTCGTCATCAACGTCCGGAATTGGTTCGGGGAGTTTTTGCACTGAAAATATAATATTGCCATTTCATATACTACTTTATACTATCTTCTAATGCCATTACATCTTATTTATAAATGTTATATCTAAAGCTTTCAAGATTTCTTTATAAAATAATGTTATTCACGATGAAGATGTTCTCCTACCTATTTCACCTTGCTTTCCACGAACTTTTCGTCCTTTAATGATCCTCGGCTTACGGTTTGACATTCTGAAAGATAAGGTATTTTAAAATTCATAATTAAAGTTAAAATTTATTAAAAAAACGAGGAAAAACACGAATTATATTACACAAGGCACGTAGGTAAGGTAAACCGCGGAAATTTGCTCTTATCGTTATTCTATGACATTTTAAAAGACATAGCTGGAAAAATAAGATTAAAAAGACCCTTTTAAAGATATATAGAACAAAATATGTCAATTTACAAATCAGCTATCACAAGTTATAACATCTGAAAGTCAAAATTTTCGCAAAAAATTAAAAAAAATTTGATGGTAAGGTTAAAAGAATCAGATGAAAAGCTACATCGTCACAACAGAATCCTACTTTTTTGCCTTCAAAATTACCGTGAGATTCAGAAGCTACTAATATACCCATTTTCAAACATTTTTAATTTTCAATTCGGCCCAAAATCAACCGATTTCATCGACCATCACCCAAAAAATGCAAAATTTTTCCAATTTCCCCAATTTTTTGCGAAGAATCGACCAATTTGATCGACTACCAACCAAAAAAATGAGAAATCAGTTCTGATCTCATCAAATTTTTGCCAAAAATCGACCAATTTCTCGGCCAAATCACGTCAAAATCACGATTTTGGCCCAAATTTGCATAAAAATCTGTCCTTTTCATGCAAAACTTCATGGTCATATAAAAGCGAGGGATGGAGCGGCCGCGGCGCTCAGTGTGAACGTATTCTTGTGGAAGGTCCGTGGTTTTTGGTCACAACCCAGACACATTCGGACGACCAACGAGAAATGACTTCGGCGTACTTTGGAGTTGGTGGCGGCGGAGGTGGCGGAGCCCAATCCGCCTACTTTGGTGTGGGCGGTGGACCGGCTGGAGGCGGTGGTGGAGCCAAGCCCGCAGCTGGAGGTGGCGGTGGTGGCGGCGGCGGAGGAGCACAATCGGCCTATTTTGGAGTTGGAGGTGGAACACCCGGGGCCGGAGCACAGTCGGCCTATTTCGCGGTGGGCGGTGGACCAGCTGGAGGAGGAGGAGGCGGTGGCGGCGGTGGAGCCCCACCCCCACCACCACCAGCCGCTGGTGGCGGAGGAGGTAAGGGTTTTAAAAAATTTTTTTTTAAAATTTCAAATTAAAAAAAAATTCAAATTTCAAAATTAATTTTTTTTTGAAGTTTCAAATATTATAATATCTGTTGTTATTGTCATCTCCTGACTTATGTTGTTACAGGTACATCAACGATGACTGCTGTTGGCGGAGCCCCAATGGGAGGCGGCGGAGGTGGAACCTCGACTATGACTGCTGTGGGAGCTGCACCAGCCGCTGGAGGCGGTAAGGTTATTTTTTGAATTTAAATAAATTTTTTTCAAGCTTTTGAAGCCTTTCTTGATTAGTTTTTGAATATTTTTGGCCTTAGTTATATACCTGAAAATTAAAAAAAAATTGCGAATACCAGACCATACCTATTTTCAGTACCTATATAATCATATTTTTCAGTACCTATATTACCATCTCTTTCAGGTCGCTCAACCATGACCGCTGTTGGCGGAGCCCCAATGGGTGGTGGTGGCACCTCAACAATGACGGCCGTAGGCGGAGCCCCAATGGGCGGAGGCGGCGGACAATCGACCATGACCGCCGTCGGCGGAGCGCCAATGGGAGGCGGCGGAGGTGGTACCTCGACCATGACTGCAGTTGGTGCTGCTCCAGGTGGAGGCGGTGAGTTTTTTCGTTTTAAAATTTTTTGAAATTTTGAAATTTTTAAATTTTCGTTTTTGCCATTTCATAATAGATATCTTCAGGTAGATCCACGATGACTGCCGTAGGAGCCCCAATGGGAGGTGGAGGTGGTGGAACCTCGACCATGACCGCTGTAGGAGCCCCAATGGGTGGTGGTGGCACCTCAACAATGACGGCCGTAGGCGGAGCCCTAATGGGTGGTGGCGGAGGTGGAACTTCAACCATGACCGCTGTAGGAGCTGCACCAGGTGGTGGAGGTAAGCCTTTTGGGTTTATATTGTTATTGTTTAGGGATGCCGGAGGCCGTAAGTGTTTCGACCTTGTTTTAGCCAGCCATTGCTTTCTTATTTTTGTCATTTTGAACCCAGTCTTCTTATCATTTCACTTACAGGTCGCTCAACCATGACAGCCGTAGGCGGAGCCCCAATGGGTGGTGGCGGCGGAGGAACCTCGACCATGACTGCCGTAGGTGGAGCACCAGGAGGCGCACCAGGCGGCGGAACTTCAACGATGACTGCCGTTGGAGGCGCAGTGGGCGGTGGAGCGCCACCCCCACCACCACCAGCTGGAGGTGGTGGCGGCGGCGGAGGTGGCGGAGCAACCTCAGCATACTTCGGAGTTGGAGGCGGCGGAGGTGGTGGAGCCCAGTCCGCCTACTTTGGCGTCGGTGGCGGCGGTGGTGGTGGAGCCAAGCCCTCTGGTGGCGGCGGTGGAGCCGCACCTCAACCCGGACAATCGGCCTACTTCGGAGTGTCGGGCGGTGGAGCTGGACAAGGTGGTGCCACATCTGCTTACTTTGCTCCAAAATAACAAGTCGGCTTCAATAAATGGTGCCCACAAAATTTTTTGTATTGTTCTTGAATATTTTAGTTTTATTTTTTATTTTCATTGATTTTCTCTTCATTTTTTAAATTAAATTGTTTTTTTGGTTGAGTTTGAACTGATAGTCTTGTCAAAAATAGGCTTGGTAAAGATTCGGAATCAAATTTTCCTTGTTTTATCAGGTATGAAGTTTCTTGATCTTGTAATTGAATTCTCTAATCGTAAATTTGATTTCTTCAATTTAAAATTGGAAGTTGTATTTTTAATTGTTACTTCATTTACTGGGTCTTGTTATAATGATATAGATAAGTTTGGTTATGTTTTGCACGGTGCAATAAAATTGAAACGTTTTTAACTATATTTCTATAACTTTCTGACCTCGAGGCCATTTTGAGTAAGGTCGGCCAAATTCTTAAATTCAATTTTTCTACAAATTTGTCGACCAAGTTTTCAAAAATTTAATTTTTCTACAAACTTTTTGAACAAAATGTAACCATATACCTCATGTACAAGATATTTTTACACGAAAAATCACGCAATTTCATAGTATTACCAAAAAAAATTTCAAAAAAAGAGATCTATATACTATACGGTGTAACCGTACTATACATATAGTTGCGCATGCTAATACAAATTCACCCCCAAATACGATCAACATCACATACTGATTGCACGGTGCATTTTAAAATTTAGAAATCGCATTCTGCAGATCGGCCAAAAATTCATAAAAAATGACATGCCCAAGCCTTGTTTTATACTAAATTTAAAAAACGTAAAAGAATTCAACCCACCAGCCGCAGAAACATCATTTGTATAGATTCTAGTCCATTTTATCCCATGTTTTAGGCTACAAAAACGATAAACAGCCGTATAGTAATAGTAAAAATTGCCAAAGGAAAAATAAAATAATTTTTAAAAAAGTTATAAACCCAAAATACCTCAAGGTTACATCGTATAAGTAAGAAAAGTAAGTTTTTAAAAACATTTTTGCAAAATTATTTATTTTTTCGTGGCTTTCTGTTTTAGCATCAAAATAATTCGCCGCGGGAGATAAATATTGTTATATAAAATATTTATTTCTTCTTCACGGGTGTTTTTCCATTATCGTTAGACTTTTTTTCGCGGCGGGCCGCTGTGTCCCGCGAGTGACAAGTTATACGAAGGAACGTTTGCTCTATTATTCACAGGCAGCTTATGAACTTTTTATAATAAAACAAAAATAATATAAAAGACGTAAAATGAAAATATTATAGGTTTGTTTACAAACAATTTGTTGTTGATGGCAACTTTTTAAAACTTAACGAACTGCAATTTGCAATGGGATTAAAGAACTGTTAGCTGTAGGGAATTTCATTATATCCGGATTTTTTAGTCAAGAATTAATGAAGCATTTTTTCTTGGGATTTAAAAAATTTCGCTATATCGGGGGTTTTTTAAGCGGAATCCTATTAGCGAATTTTGATGTATTTCTTTAAACTTTGTTTGCATATTTTTTTGAACTGGCACTTGTATTTAAGGATTTTTAATAAGAGAAGGAACAAAACGTAGATATAGGTCTGCTTTACACGGCTTTAGACAATATTAATTTTTGCAAAATAGTTAAAAATGCCAATTTTCTATCGATTAGGCTGGAAATGGATAGCAGGTAGCAGGTTAGCTTCAAACGCAGTTATTAAGTAATTGAAACATTATATTTGCACCGCGCTAAACATTATCTGAACAAACATAAAATTTAGTTTTTGAATACAGTATTACTTTTTTTAATGCCATGTTACCTTATTCACAATCTTTAAAAGGTTTGGGTCACTTTCCGGAATAGTGACACCTCCAGAACAAACCCTAACATACCATACCCTATGCTACCTACTATATCGTACTCATCCTACTTGGCATACCATACTCTATCCTAATTACTATGCTATACTGTATCATTATATCGTATGTTATCTATTCTCTACCTTGCGTACCTACTATACCATGTCATACTTTATTCTACCTACCATATCATACCCTACCGTATCCTGTACTAGCATACCCTATACTAACTGACATTCCATACCCTACCATGCTTTATACTACTATATTGTACCATATCACACCCTATACTAGCTACCCTACCCTACTCTACCATACTAAACCAAAAAATACTATATCATATTATACTCTAACATACCCTACACTACCTACAGTACCATATCTACCATACCATACCGTGACATATTTGTCTATACTAAACCACTTATCTTGCCTTACTTACTTGGACTGAACTCTTACCAATGGGTTAATATTATAGTATACGGTAGTGTCGTAAATATAAGATTAGACAAGGTAAGATATGATATAGTTTGGCAGATAGGATAAGGTAGGTATGGTATGTGATACTATGGTATAGTAGGTAGTATAGGGTTTGGTATGGTATGATTTAGTATAGTATGGTATATAAGATAGTGTAGGGTATGTAAATATAAGGTGTGGTAGTACAGGATACGGTAGAGTATTGTACGGAAGGTAGTATAGAATATGGTATGGTAGGTAAGGTAGAGAATAGTAGACAACATACAATTTAATATGATATGATATACGATATGGCAAAGCATAGTAGGTAGAATAGGGTATGGTATGTCAGGTAGGGTAAAAATGCACTTTTCACTATATTTTTCTTCAATGGGTGTACTTTGAATGCCAATTGTGAGAAAATGAAACATTATTTTTGCCTAGTTTTAAATAGTGCCGGTAAGAGAATACAATGTAGTTTTTAAATATTCTATCACTTTTTTTAATTCCATGTCAAATTTTTTAGTATATTTGAAAATGTCATGTTTTACTTTATTTTTGCCTAACATTCGGACTTTGAATGCAAATTGTGAGATAACAAAACAAAAGTTTGGCATAGAACTAAATATTATCTGGAAGAGCATAAAATTTAGTATTAAAATGCTGTTTTATTTTGTATTTAGCGGTGTTAACTTTTTCACTATACTTTAAAATGTCAGCTTTTACTGTATTTTTGCCCAATGTGCAAACTTTGAATGCAAATTGTGGAAAAACGAAACATGATTTTGACATAGAGCAAAATAGTATCTGGAAGAGCATAAAATTTAGTATTAAAATGCAGTTTTATTTTGTATTTTGCGATGTTAACTTTTTCACTATATTCGAAAATGTCATGTTTCACTATATTTTCACCCAATATGCAGACTTTGAATGCAAATTGTGAAGTAACGAAACATTATTTTGGCATTGAGCTAAATAGTATCTGGAAGAGCATAAAATCTAGTTTTTAAATACTCTATTACTTTGTTTTTTGCAGTGTTAACTTTTTCAGTATATTCGAAAATGTCAGTTTTCACTGTATTTTGCCCTAATATGCGGATTTTGAATGCAAATTGTGAAAAAACGAAACATTGTTTTGACATAGAGCTAAATAGTATCTGAAAGAGTATAAAATCTAGTTTTTAAATACTCTATTACTTTGTTTTTTTCGGTGTTAACTTTTTCAGTATATTCGAAAATGGCAGTTTTCACTGTATTTTACCCTAATATGCGGACTTTGAATGCAAATTGTGAAAAAACTAAACATTGTTTTGACATAGAGCTAAATAGTATCTGAAAGAGTATAAAATCTAATTTTTAAATACTCTATTACTTTGTTTTTTTCGGTGTTAACTTTTTCAGTATATTCGAAAATGTCATTTCCCCTTATAATTTTTCCGACTTGCGCCCTGGCCCGAAAAAATGAATTTCTTAGCGATAATCGTTCTTTTGCGTCAAAACACCCGTGTCTTGGATCGACGTTTTTTATTGTAGAATCGTTAGTTGAAGTAAGTAGTTGGTTTAGCTTGATCTTTATGGTTCTAATTATACTTTCATAACTTATTTTTTAAATTCCTTTTATATTGTATATTTTTTTTGCTAATAACTTTGTTTATTACAACAATGTTCTGATTCATTTGTTTTTAGCTCAAAATGAACATACGAAGAGCAACAGTGGACGATTTAGTAAAGACCCAGCATTGTAATTTGTTGTGCTTGCCTGAGAATTATCAATTGAAGTATTATTTGTATCATGCACTATCTTGGCCATTGTCGTATGTTGCGGAGAATCATAAGGTAAGATTTTGGTTTTGTTTCTTCGATTTTTAGGTATGAATATTTTCTACAGAGGTAGATCTTACTTCTAAAGGCACTTTCAATATGTTTGGGTATTCAAAAGTTAAAATACAAGGCTTTTTCCTCACCAAACCTCAAACATCAAGTATAACATTATTTTTAGGGTGAGATCGTAGGGTATGTGCTGGCCAAAATGGAAGAGGATGCTGAAGATGAACCTCATGGACATATCACTTCCTTAGCAGTGCGTAGAGAATACCGTCGTCTTGGTGTGGCTCGACTTTTGATGGACCAAACTGCTCGCCTCATGGTGGAGATGTATGGTGCTCGTTATGTGTCGCTACATGTTCGTGTTACTAACAGAGCTGCTCTACATCTTTACAGGTATAGTTTTAGGTTTTTTTCTTGGGTATAAACATTTTTTATAGTGATTTTCTTATGTTTCTTTCGACTTTTATCAATTTTTATACGTTAACATAGTTTATTCTTACTAAAAAGTTCAAAATCTAATATCTTTACTTCAGGGACGTTCTAAAGTTCGATGTTATGGATGTAGAAGCGAAATACTATGCTGATGGTGAGGATGCCTATGCTATGAAGCGCCCATTGGTCCAATGGGCAAAGGAGAACGATTTGGAGCCATTCGACAAAGAGTCCTTCTTCAAAGAAAAACCACAAAAGGTCAACGGAAAACAGCATTGAGATCTCGAAATCAGTTATTGTTATTGTTTAACGAGTAAATTAGCTACAATATTAAAATGATTAGCTGTTGATTTGATTGAAATTGCAAAAGATATTGTTCAAGTCAATATTATACTATGAAGAGAGAACTGGGCTTTGTTTTGGATAAAACTAATTGTTTTATAATAAAATACGGCGTTCATATTCTTCCTTCTCTTATGTTTAATTGTTTGAAATGTTTAAATTACCTTAAAATTTAAAAAATCAAATTTCGGCTTATTTTAGGTGTGTCGCTGTCGATTTTTCGCAAATTTTGCATGGATCACGGGTAGAAATTGCATAATTTCCAAAAAAATCTTGTCAACTAGTCTATTGACTTTAAAATCAGTATTTACTAATCAATCTACAGCAATCTCTGCGCTCCGAAATGCTAGTATTAGGGGAAGAGTTTGTGGAATTTGAAGTCGATTCTCAATTATCTGATATCTTCTTTGACAACGTTAATCAGAAGGTATCTTTTATGGTTTTAAAATCACTGTTGGATACATTAACTTATTTTCGAAAAACATTAATGATTTCGTTTTATTTTGGTGGAGAAATTTACGTTATAGTAGGGTCACCTACATTAACTTAGAGAAATCATTTTGTTTTGATAATGCTGATAGCTAAGAGAGTAAAAATAGTTACAGTGTGTTACAATAGGATTATAAAAGGCTTAAAAGCATTTTTGATACTAAGACTTTACAGATTTGTACAGTACGAGGTAATGGAGCGATGGGAGTGACGGCCAAAGGCCTCGAAGGCCCAGCGTGGTCATCTTTTCGAATTCGTGATGGTGGAAAGATAAACACCCTAAATTTTTCGACCGATGGTCAGATATGTTGTGTACAGCGCAAGGAGAACAGTTGTGTATGTTGATATTACTTATATTGCACTAGGTATACCCGCTGTTATAGTAGATATCCCTATTTTAAAATTTTTTTAAAAATTCTGCCAATAAAATCAAAATTTTTAGGATTTTGTGTTCCTGGAAGACAAAACCAATGACGTTTATCCGGATTACAAGCAGAATTGTCGTGCCGAAGCAACCAAAATCATGGGTGCACAATGGGTGGCGGAGAAGCAGATAGTTTACGTGACAGATGGTGGCTTGGAGCTATATCAGTTCAATTCGAAAAGGAAAACTGTAAAATTTGTTAAGGCTGTCAGTTTTAGGCCTAATTGGTTCGTTTATCATGTAAGTTTTTGGTAAAGAAATGCTTTATTTGATCTAAAGCTTGCGCCTTTGCATTTGAAGTATGCGCAGGCTGCAGATTAGTGTTTTGAAAGGCTGTAACTGGACTGGAAACGGGAATATAACATTGGAATAAACATTTTTCGGTTTTTCAACTTTAATTTTTTAAAAAATATTTTAAAATTAAAAATTTGAAATTTCAATGTTTCAGCCAAAGTCAGATCTAATAATATGTGCAAGTGGAGTAACAGCAGCCGTCCTGAATCCCTTTATTATTCAAAATGGCTTTATTCACAAATTACAACGGTTTGAAATTGATTTTGGATGTTCAAGATGGAAACCAAGACTTTTGGATCGAGATCTGGCCATAGCTTCATTATATGGCCGGATTTATGTTATGGTACTCAAGTTTGGGCCGAAGGAACATCAAATTGAGAGGTTGAACTTGTTTTTAATGAGCTCGAGTCCGGATACTCCACCTAAATTGGCGTTTTCATTGGTTTTGGGTATGTTGAGATTTTTTTTTAAATTTGTTTTCTCCTACCCTATTCCTACCCTTACTCCTACTCTTACTCCTACCCTATCCCCTACCCCTAATAATACTTAGACTTAACATTTCAGGCCTAAACGGACCAGTAGGTATTCACACAATAGACAATCTAGTCATTGTGCATCATAAGAACTCGGCCAAAAGTCTGATCTTTGATATTGGACTTCAGAAGACCCTAATAGAACGACATCCAGTAGCAACGACTAACATACGATTGGATAAGAAGTTAAAAGAAGCATTTAATGAAAGTCTGAACACCTACCATCCGGCATGGGTAACATTCGCTCCGAATTTGATAGCTGATGTCAGGTTGGGCATATTCTCGACGATTGGTGTGGGTTTGGAACAGAGTAGTGAGGTCATCAAGGATAACGTAAGGTTTTGAGGTTTTTAGAATTTAATTAAAAATTTTTGAGTCGTAAAAAAAAGTTCGTGCCATTTTTTGTATTGTAAACAAAGTTTTTGACGTTTTTTTTGATTTGTAAAGAAAGTTTTTGCAATTTTAAGTTTTGGAAACAAAGTTCTTGCCATTTTTGATTTGGAAACAAAATTTTTGCAATTTTAAGTGTAAAAAATTATGACAAATTATTTTTCAGATGATGTTGCTCGACTTCATAATAAACCGCAAGAATTCAGAGCAATTTTTCTTAAAAACACTCAAAAACTTGTTGTTAACGAAAGCTTTGAGTATACGGGAATCAGCTGAAATTTTTGCAAGAATCCTTCAAAATTCAAGTGATGGGACTTTGAATAACAATAAAGGTGGGCCTTCATCCTACTTTACCCTACCTTACCCTACCCTGCCATATCCTAGCTTAACCTATCATACTAAACCCAGCCCTACCTACCATACCCTGTTCTACCATACCATACCTCGTTTTGTTCTGCCTTGCCTTCACCGGCTCTGTCGTGCCGTGACCTGTTTTCTCTTTTTCTGTTCAATTCTACCTTATCATATTTTGCCCTGCCTTACCTTGTTATGATTATGCCTTGCTCTGCAATGCTCTGCATTTTCCTGCCTTTTCTTGTCCGTTGCTACCCTACCTTGCTGTAAATTTTCCGGTATCTTTTTTATTTATTATAAAGAGCTCTCTTTTTTTTAGAACCATCGTCCAAGTTCAAATTAGTAGCAGATCAATTCGAGCCTTTAAAAGTGGATTATAATCAAATTGTACGATCAGTGCTAGTACCCTTAAAGGAAGAACCGAGAATGGACAGGAAGTTCCTATCAGCTGTCGCTTTGGAGTTCTATGCGGCTGTTAAGGTAGGATTATATTTTTATTATTTTATTAGTCTTAGGCCTAGTAGGCTTAGTAGGCTTAGGCTTAGTACGCTAAGGCGCAGGCTGACTATACTTAGGCTTACTAGTTTGAGGCTTAGTAGGCTTATTATTAGGAAGCTTGGGCTTAGGAGTCTTAGGCTTAGGAGGCTTAGGCTTAGTAGGCTTAGACTTAATAGGCTTATGATTAGTAGCCTTGAGCTTAGGGCTCTTAGTCTTAGTAGGCTTAGGATGCGTAGGCTTAGCAGGTAGGTTATTTTTTCTTAGCTTATATTTTGTGGTTTTGAATTTTTTTTCAGAAAGCCCAAATCCCTTTGGAACACCACTATCTAGCCGAATTCCTAATCCGCACCATGGTCGATGCAAACGAAACGGAAAAGTTGAAACAATGTCTACAGTACTCCGTGGTGGACGATTCCAAATTCCTAGCTTTTGAACTGATATCACTGTCAAAAGAGAAGAAGGAGTTTGGACAATTGGCATTGGACATGCTGAAACGAAAACCCAATAATAAGGAACAGATTGCCGAATTTCATATCAATCAAGGTGAAATCATCAACGCCCTGCGGGTATTAAGAAGTGTTATCATCGACAAAAGTGTAGCGTTGAGGATTCTGGAGGAAACGTGGAAGACGGAGGATAGGAAGCTGAAGTACATGGTGTTTACGCATCTGAGGGATGTGAGGAAGTTGCCATGGATTGATGGAAGTGGTGGGTTTTTTCTCTCTGGGTTTTATTTTAGGCTGGGGGGGGGGAAGCGAGGTCGACGAAAAAAATTTTTTGAAAATTTTTGGATTTCATTGTAGAGTAGAATATTGTACTGTTTGGTAAAACAGAAAAAAATTTTTTTGGTATTGCAATGTAGGATTACGGTACCTACCGGTAGGACATTACTAGGTTAGAGTTTGTATAAGTTCTTTAAAGTATGGTTTGACAGAGTAGGTTAGGATCAAGTAAAGCAGGTGGGTATAGGATAAAGAACAATAAGTTAAAAGGTTAAGGTGGTAGGGCAGGGTGTAGCACTGTATGATAGGGCAGGATAAGCGTGGTTTAGGGTAGGGCAGGGCAGGTTAGGTAAGGTAGAATAGGGTATGGTAGAGTACAGTAAAACAGGGCAGAGTTATGTAAGGTAGGGTACGTTAAGGTAAAGTAAAAGGTCATTTTTTATTATTTACAGCGGTTAAAATGACGATACCATAATGTAAATCAAAGTTTATTTTATTCAAAAAAAATTATTTTCAGTATCCGACGACCAATTCGACACCTACATCCGCGACTTCAAACAATTGTTTAACAATGAAGAGCTGGAAGAAGCCGATCAACGTTTCCGGCTAGCCAAAATCTCATCTGTAGCCTCGCTTCAAGCCCTGAATCCGAGCCCATCCAGGAACATTCTGAATGCATCGAACAGCGAATACCTCAACGATTCTATTCCATCATCGTTCCACTCCGACTTCGACATGAGCAATGCCCCAGGCGCTGGAATACCAAATTATTAAAATTTTGAAAAAGAGTTTTGGATTGTACAAATTTTTTTATAAATATTTAGTTAGAATAAAGGTTTTAGGTATAAATGTTTTTAAAATGGCAAAAAATTTCTTTACCAACCAAAAAATTGCAATAACTTTCTTTACAAAACACAAAATAGCAAGAACTTTCTTTACAAACCAAAAAATTGCAAGAACTTTCGTTACAGGGGGGGGGGGATAAAAATTTTTTTTTGGCTTTGCAAAGGGCTATTACGTTTTTTCAATATTTATGTTCAGGTAATTCCGTGCCCCTTATTACCGAAAAGTTTTGGGGCTGGAAGGCACATAATTATATGAACAACGTAATAGTATCGACTGTAAAACGAATCTTCATGAAAAGTTGGAAAAGTAAAATACCTGTGAATAATATTGTAAAAAGCTACTTTTTAAGTGAAATTTACATTGTTTAAGTTAAAACGATTAACATATATAATTTCACTGATAACAGTCTCACTCTCACAAAAATATAGAAATTATTCTCTGTGGTCATTGGGACTGGGTTCGAAGTATTGGCCAATAATTGAATCGTACATACGGCCAATGCAATATTTTCTCGTAGTTCTCCGATAGGAGTTTCACTTGCATTTACGTTCTCGAACGTTTTTTTGACTGTCTATGAAAGTATCGAATGTGTTTTTTATTGTCGATCTAATTAGATTGTATATTCGAGATTTGACTTATAGTTTATTTATTTAAATTAATATTCGTTTGTACAATGGTAATAATAAAACGTAACTCGTAGTGTAATCGCAGTGTGCGATCAGTGAATACTCACAGAATTCGGTAAAGGTGGGGCCCAATTACGCCTTGTCGGTCCAAAGTTTCTGTTACGGTGAAAGGTCTTAAAGATTCGGCTATTTGAAGTTGCGTCGCTAAGAGGGAAGTCGATGGAGACAATAATCTACGAATGTGCCCGCTGGGGCTAGTAATTTTCTTAGACATTATTAGTAGTTCCAGATTGGTTTTACGATGAAAGGGTCCAGACGCCAAGATACAGGTGCGAAGTCTGTAAGGCAGCAAAAGAGCATGAAGATATCAAATCGATATCTTACTGTCTGACTTTATTTATTAGCATTCTGCTAAATATTTTCGTACTACGGTATATACAATTATAGAAGAATGTATAATGTACTACCGAAATTGATTAATATCAATATTTATTCGTTATATATCAATGACAAAGTAATATTTGAGAGATTTATTAACCTTTTTTTATGTTATGTTGGCCATTGCCATGTCACCACGCTTTGGGAGAGCGTGTGCTCTGTCCACTGAATCATATACGAAACTGTACACTTTGTCAGTCCTCTACGTGATAATATGGACGTTTCAAATCCGCTTGTTCAGCTTGACCATTTCCACCATAAGCAGTTACGCGCTATGTTGTCATTATATTTTCCGTCGCTGTCTAAGGGATCGATTCGCAATAGTTGGTACGTTTTCTAGTTATGTTTAGTTGGTAAATGTGGTTACGTACGGCTGAGCCCCCATGTAATGTTTTAGTCGATCAATACCAAATAATTTTTGCTTTCAAACTTTATTGTAACAGTAAAATATTAAAATCTACGTAGTAGTAGTATAAACGTAAACGTTTACGTTAAAACTCAGCAAAACGGTGTTATTGTTGTGTCACATCCGTGCGTACATGGCTGTTTTATGCATTGCATGTAGGCGGTTAACGTTTGGTCATTTTGGTGTCTTATGTAAGTTTCGTACTGCTCTGTATCAATTTTACGTCCGTCCAAACTAACTTCTACGTTTTAAACACTCAAACTTTATATTGAATTCCTTCAGTGCGCAATTTGATCTTTGTTATTCACCGTCGACGGGCTTGTAGTGTGTTCGAAAAGGGGTTTACCCTCCATTTTCGAGTATAAATCCGACGTTCAATATTTTATCGAAATTTACTTTCACAAAAATATAACAATATAATTTAAATATCACAAATTAAACAAAATAGAATAGTTTGATAACAGATACAAAATTGGATTAAAAAGATAACAGAAGTGGCTACAAGATCTACTCTAACTATTCTACTCAATGATACAACAATAAACACAAATAAAAACCTCCTCTAACACTCCTTCTCAATGATACTGTAACAACATACAAAACAATCGCATTTTATCGCGGAAATAGGCATTGCTTTTTACGATTTGTTCTTTTTTTGTGTCTTATAGTACACTCAGGCCCAAAAACTAATGAATGTTTCATTGTTGTAGTGACCGCTTATAAACTATTTATAAAACAGTAGAGTAGCAGCTTCTCCGCATTAAGAAAAACTTATAACGTTCTTCGATTTTTACGTTGGTTAAATTAAAACGATTAACATACATAATTAAGACGATAAAGAATTTGTGAAACTATAATGAATTAATATTAATTTATTTGAGAATGGATCTTTTTAAAACGAAAGATTTTTAATGCTTTTACGTGCATTCCAGCAAAATACCTTTTACGGGTATTCCCGGATGTAACAGCATACCGTTAATGTAATATTTCTTTGCCGTTTAAATTCGTCAACTACGACATAGTTCTAGAGGAATAGTGATAAACGTAGTTTTGCCATATAAAACAAAACCAGTTACTAACTTTACGATGAATTCTGTACCGTTGTCACTTACAACAATTTACGCCACTAAACATTAGTCTCCATAATGAAAAAACATCGTATCATCGCTACAAAGTCACCAATGGCGGCTTAGCAGTAAGGTAAGAAGACATACACATTGTTAAATTGTAGTTAAAATCTGATTACTACTTAAAAACATACGTCTCCTCGTGTTATTTCGAATGATTTTGTGGATTCTTTTTCTAACTAATTTGGAAGGCCTATTGTATGTCTATCAATATTAAAAAATAAATAGAAATCTCAGATTTTGTTAAGTAATATGACGATAACAAAAAGTCATAAAATGATGTGCTTTCAGAACTAAGACATAATTACCTTCTTCAGTAAAAAGGCTAAGTTTGGGCTCGGGGCTTAGGCTTAGTTTTTCCTTCCGGCTCGGGGCTCGGGCTGATGAAAGGGACGGTGATCTCCTCGGGTGTTGACGAGTGGTACATATTCGCGCATACTGCCATGAGAAACGACTGGTTTGGTTGGTAATGGCCGAGTTCTTGACTGGATTATCCAAGATGTCTTGGAGTTGGACTCCAGTGTTGGCGAAACTGGTTGAGTCAACTGGGTGTAGTATCAGTTGAAATCCGGTCGCTTTGTTTATGTAAGAGGCCAACTCATCGCGATCAACATCTTGCCAAGATGCGTTAGTGTTGGAAAGTGAATTGAGGACACCAGTAAAAAGGCTAAGCTTGGGCTCGGGGCTTAGGCTTTTAGCACCCAGTTGTTTACTTAGAATTATATATCTCCATGTCAAACGTTTTAGTTTATTAATGATATTGAGAAGGCTACGAGTTTTCTAAATTAATTACGTTGGTTAAATTAAAACGATTAACATATAAAAAAATCGGAATCCGTACTAAGCTTCATCATAATTATGTCACATTTGAATGTATTTGAACGTATTATAAGATTGGGTGAATTAAAACCATTAACATACACAAGACCTTTTTTGTCATTTGACATTTGTGATTGATGGATTACTACGGCACTGCACACGTTTAGAATTTTGTATGCGGTTGATTCATCAGCGTCTGTACATGGCAACGTGGACCGTTTTACGTGGAATTGCGGCCTTCAGGAAAATTTCTCGATTATGCTGACGGACTTTTTAAGGGTCAGTTTAAAATACAAACGTATAACATAAGACGAAAAAGAGATATAAAACAACAATATTAAAAGCCCCCAAATACCTCAGACTTGTATTGACAGGAGAAACTGATTTGCTCGGCTTTTATACACTGTTGCAAGTGTTTACAAAGGGATTGATAGCATTGATTAATAATGTCTGGCGCCGGCCACCCAAATCGTTTGTCGCGGCCCACCCAAAGTGCTTGCAAAGCACCCAAAGGGTCCCGCAAATTGATTGTGTTATTTGTAAATTGGCCGACTTGCAGCAGTTGAGTTTCTTAAGGCTGATACGTACATTAATCTACGATTTTATTTTGCCGTTTTGCAGCCATTAAACGTGATGAAGTATATGTATACTTACTCAAGCCGGTATAATTTTCAGTTACAGGAATACAAAAATATTACAAATATTGTAGATAAAATTTATTGTAAAGTTTTAGCTTAGTACAAGTATAATAGTAGTATAACAATAAATAAAAATATAAACTGGAATAATCGACCGCTGTAAAGTACGGGTATTTATATTGATTTCCAGGGGGGGGTAACTTTATGAAACTAAAATGAGTTTTTTTCTCTCTCTGAATTAAAAGTTCATAAACTATACGATTTTAACGAGTGAAACATTATAAATAACGATTTTCAGAGTCAGTCACAACACCGGGAATTAGTTTACTTTTATGGCACCGTGTGGCATTACGGACGAAATGAAACAAATTGTATATCTTTATGTAAAACTATTTATTTTACTATTCTTTAATTTTTACGTTGGTTAAATTAAAACGATTAACATACACAAACTTTTTTCTGTCATTTTACATTTCTAGTTAATAGATTACTACGGTAGCATATTTCTTGGATTTCATCCTTAGGTTCGCAACCATTATTACCAGCTTTTAAGTTTTGAACTTTATACGTTTTTGAATTATAAAACCGTGAGCAAAAAGGCAACAACCATTATCTAACTTTATTACGTTGGTTAAATTAAAACGATTAACATACACATTAATATGTAAAAACAGGACAGCTGATAATAAAAAGAATTATTTCTTACTATGAAAAATTTCTTATAAAATGGCGTTTTTATCTGTGAAAAATGTATCATAAGGTCGCTTCTTCACGGTGAAAAAACATATTTAATTCTTTAATATTTAAGTGAGACATATAAATACATTTTCTGCTATTCTACATCTGTAGTTGTACACAGCGGCCTATTTGATCT